GAAATGGAGCGATCGAATGGAGCAAGTCAATGTCAGTAGGAGCAAGTCAATATCAGTAAGAGCGAACGTGTCAATACGAACAAGCGGGTCGGAACGTGTGAATCAGAAGATTTGATCGAGGCAATTTGATCGAGGCGAGTTGATCTGAACGTGTGTATCTTTTCGTAATGAGGGGGAGGCTGTCTGCGACGTGCTGCAACATCTCGGAAGTATGCAGCGCCAAGCTTGCACCGAGCCGTTGCACTCAACACAAAAGGTAGTCGAGCATGTGTTTCATTGACGCGATATGTTGAACCAATGTGGCGACCAGAACAACATTGGACGAACTCAGAGCGTTAGAGAACAAAGCGAGGCTGAATGAGCATGCCGATTTCCATTTGATTGGCTACATTGCAGTCGCCTTGTTCTGTTCCGTCCGTGTGAGAGTGCGGCAGGTTGCAAGCGTGTCGATGGTGTCATTGATGTGTGACGTCTACCATCCCCAGCCGCCACCGTATCCACCCCAGCCACCACCGCAGCCACCACCGTAGCCACCCCAGGGACGCCCCCATCCATAGCCTCCCCAGCGATGTCCCCATCCCGGTCGTCCCCACCACTCCTTGACCTTCTTGCTGTCATCGTCGACATTATGCTCCGTGTTGGCAGCTGCAGCAGCAGCCTCCACAGGAGAAGAGGATTGTTGCTTGGTCGGGTCGGAAGCAAGTGTGTCGGCAATGGGTGCAGTTGGCTCCTGTGCGGCAAGTGCTCGGAGAGCCGGCTGGTAGTCTTCAGCGGATGCGACGCTTGCTACGGTGGCTAGCGCAGTGATGGCGAGAGCGGTGATCTTCATGGTCGAGTTTGTCGGTCGCTTGGTCAGTCGTCAGTCGGTCGGTCGGTCGGTCGAGTCGATAACTTCCTCGCTGCGTGGTGCACTGGCAGTGTCAATTGGATAGTGAGTAAGTGGGATCGGTAGACGAGCTCACGAGTGGGCTGGAGTTGTGACGGGTAAATGGTCACGAACCGTCATGGTGACTGCTTCAGTTGATTGAGTTGATCAAGCTGATGGTCGGAAGGCCCGCGTGTTTTGATCGTGTTTCCAGCCACGAGCGTGAAAGGCATCTTTGAGTCACGTTTGTGTTTTTCCGTTTCTTAGCGAATGTGGTAGCTGATTTCTGGCTGGTTCCGATACTCATCGATTCGTGGTGCATGCTACGAGGTGGCCACGAACTGTACGATGGAGGTCGGTGTCAGTGTTTGTTTCCTGGTTTGCGTCGGGAGTCGTGTTGTACTGTGTCCACATCCGTATCGACGCTGTGGCCAGAGCTGATGACCTTGTCGTAGTGTTCAACCTTGTCGGTGTTGTCAACACCAGCTTCAATCTGGCGTCCGATATCGATGACAGTGTTGACGTCTGTCGATACTCTCAATGCATGTTTGGTGGAAATGAAGTGGAATGCAAGTGTTTGCTTTGGGATATTGCAAAGGGTGCGGCAATTCATAGCGCTTGGTTTACAGCTACGAGAAAGTATGGCAATCACTGTGCAGAAATGGAGCGATCGAATGGAGCAAGTCAATGTCAGTAGGAGCAAGTCAATATCAGTAAGAGCGAACGTGTCAATACGAACAAGCGGGTCGGAACGTGTGAATCAGAAGATTTGATCGAGGCCAATTGATCGAGGCGAGTTGATCTGAACGTGTGTATCTTTTCGTAATGAGGGGGAGGCTGTCTGCGACGTGCTGCAACATCTCGGAAGTATGCAGCGCCAAGCTTGCACCGAGCCGTTGCACTCAACACAAAAGGTAGTCGAGCATGTGTTTCATTGACGCGATATGTTGAACCAATGTGGCGACCAGAACAACATTGGACGAACTCAGAGCGTTAGAGAACAAAGCGAGGCTGAATGAGCATGCCGATTTCCATTTGATTGGCTACATTGCAGTCGCCTTGTTCTGTTCCGTCCGTGTGAGAGTGCGGCAGGTTGCAAGCGTGTCGATGGTGTCGTTGATGTGTGACGTCTACCATCCCCAGCCGCCACCGTATCCACCCCAGCCACCACCGCAGCCACCACCGTAGCCACCCCAGGGACGCCCCCATCCATAGCCTCCCCAGCGATGTCCCCATCCCAGTCGCCCCCACCACTCCTTGACCTTCTTGCTGTCATCGTCGACATTATGCTCCGTGTTGGCAGCTGCAGCAGCAGCCTCCACAGGAGAAGAGGATTGTTGCTTGGTCGGGTCGGAAGCAAGTGTGTCGGCAATGGGTGCAGTTGGCTCCTGTGCGGCAAGTGCTCGGAGCGCCGGCTGGTAGTCGTCAGCGGATGCAACGCTTGCTACGGTGGCTAGTGCAGTGATGGCGAGAGCGGTGATCTTCATGGTCGAGTTTGTCGGTCGCTTGGTCAGTCGTCAGTCGGTCGGTCGGTCGAGTCGATAACTTCCTCGCTGCGTGGTGCACTGGCAGTGTCAATTGGATAGTGAGTGAGTGGGATCGGTAGAAGAGCTCACGAGTGGGCTGGAGTTGTGACGGGTAAATGGTCACGAACCGTCATGGTGACTGCTTCAGTTGATTGAGTTGATCAAGCTGATGGTCGGAAGGCCCGCGTGTTTTGATCGTGTTTCCAGCCACGAGCGTGAAAGGCAATTTCGCGTCACGTTTGTGTTTTTCCGTTTCTTAGCGAATGTGGTAGCTGATTTCTGGCTGGTTCCGATACTCATCGATTCGTGGTGCATGCTACGAGGTGGCCACGAACTGTACGATGGAGGTCGGTGTCAGTGTTTGTTTCCTGGTTTGCGTCGGGAGTCGTGTTGTACTGTGTCCACATCCGTATCGACGCTGTGGCCAGAGCTGATGACCTTGTCGGTGTTGTCAACACCAGCTTCAATCTGGCGTCCGATATCGATGACAGTGTTGACGTCTGTCGATACTCTCGATGCATGTTTGGTGGAAATGAAGTGGAATGCAAGTGTTTGCTTTGGGATATTGCAAAGGGTGCGGCAATTCATAGCGCTTGGTTTACAGCTACGAGAAAGTATGGCAATCACTGTGCAGAAATGGAGCGATCGAATGGAGCAAGTCAATATCAGTTGGAGCAAGTCAATATCAGTAAGAGCGAACGTGTCAATACGAACAAGCGGGTCGGAATGTGTGAATCAGAAGATTTGATCGAGGCCAATTGATCGAGGCGAGTTGATCTGAACGTGTGTATCTTATCGTAATGAGGGGGAGGCTGTCTGCGACGTGCTGCAACATCTCGGAAGCTTGCAGCGCCAAGCTTGCATCGAGCCGTTGCACTCAACACAAAAGGTAGTCGAGCGTGTGTTTCATTGACGCGATATGTTGAACCAATGTGGCGACCAGAACAACATTGGACGAACTCAGAGCGTTAGAGAACAAAGCGAGGCTGAATGAGCATGCCGATTTCCATTTGATTGGCTACATTGCAGTCGCCTTGTTCTGTCCCGTCCGTGTGAGAGTGCGGCAGGTTGCAGGCGTGTCGATGGTGTTGCTGATGTGTGACGTCTACCATCCCCAGCCGCCACCGTATCCACCCCAGCCACCACCATAACCACCCCAGGGACGCCCCCATCCATAGCCTCCCCAGCGATGTCCCCATCCCAGTCGCCCCCACCACTCCTTGGCCTTCTTGCTGTCATCGTCGACATTATGCTCCGTGTTGGCAGCTGCAGCAGCAGCCTCCACAGGAGAAGAGGATTGTTGCTTGGTCGGGTCGGAAGCAAGTGTGTCGGCAATGGGTGCAGTTGGCTCCTGTGCGGCAAGTGCTCGGAGCGCCGGCTGGTAGTCGTCAGCGGATGCAACGCTTGCTACGGTGGCTAGCGCAGTGATGGCGAGAGCGGTGATCTTCATGGTCGAGTTCGTCTGTCGCTTGATCGGTCGGTCGGTCGGTCGGTCGAGTTGATAACTTCCTCGCTGCGTGGTGCACTGGCAGTGTCAATTGGATAGTGAGTGAGTGGGATCGGTAGACGAGCTCGCGAGTGGGCTGGTGTTGTGACGGGTAAATGGTCACGAACCGTCATGGTGACTGCTTCAGTTGATTGAGTTGATCAAGCTGATGGTCGGAAGGCCCGCGTGTTTCGATCATGTTTCCAGCCACGAGCGTGAAAGGCAATTTCGCGTCACGTTTGTGTTTGTCCGTTTCTTTGCGAATGTGGTAGCTGATTCCTGGCTGGTTCCGATACTCATCGATTCGTGGTGCATGCTACGAGGTGGCCACGAACAGTACGATGGAGGTCGATGTCAGTGTTTGTTTCCTGGCTTGCATCGAGAGTCGTGTTGTACTGTGTCTACATCCAATCGACGCTGTGGCCAGAGCTGATGACCTTGTCGTAGTGTTCAACCTTGTCGTAGTGTTCAACACCAGCTTCAACCTGGCGACCGATATCGATGACAGTGTTGACGTCTGTCGATACTCTCAATGCATGTTTGGTGGAAATGAAGTGGAATGCAAGCGTTTGCTTTGGGATATTGCAAAGGGTGCGGCAATTCATAGCGCTTGGTTTACAGCTACGAGAAAGTATGGCAATCACTGTGCAGAAATGGAGCGATCGAATGGAGCAAGTCACTATCAGTTGGAGCAAGTCAATATCAGTAAGAAGGAACGTGTCAATACGAACAAGCGGGTCGGAACGTGTGACTCAGAAGATTTTATCGAGGCCAAATTGATCGAGGCGAGTTGATCTGAACGTGTGTATCTTATCGTAATGAGGGGAAGGCTGACTACGACGTGCTGCAACATCTCGGAAGCTTGCAGCGCCAAGCTTGCATCGAGCCGTTGCACTCAACACAAAAGGTAGTCGAGCATGTGTTTCATTGACGCGATATGTTGAACCAATGTGGCGACCAGAACAACATTGGACGAACTCAGAGCGTTAGAGAACAAAGCGAGGCTGAATGAGCATGCCGATTTCCATTTGATTGGCTACATTGCAGTCGCCTTGTTCTGTCCCGTTCGTGTGAGAGTGCGGCAGGTTGCAAGCGTGTCGATGGTGTCTTTGATGTGTGATGTCTACCATCCCCAGCCGCCACCGTATCCACCCCAGCCACCACCGTAGCCACCCCAGGGACGCCCCCATCCATAGCCTCCCCACCACTCCTTGGACTTCTTGCCTTCCGCATCGATGGCGGCAGTAGGTTCGTTTTCCGCAGCTACATCAGCAGCAGCCTCAACAGGATGCAAATGTCGCTCGGTAGGACCTGCTGCCATCGTGTCAGTGCTGGGTGTAGCTGGTTCCAATGCAGCAAGGGCTCGGAGCGCCGGCTGGTAGTCAGTAGCTGAGGTGACGCTTGCTACAGCAACTAGCGCGGTGACGGCGAGAGCAGTGCACTTCATGGTCGATTTGGTCGGCTGGTCGAGTACTTGCTCGCTAGGTGTTGGTGTGGTAGTGCCAGTTGGTTTGTGAGTGCGATCGATGTACGAGCTAGCGAGTGGGCTGGTGTTGCGATGAGTGACTCGTCACGTAGCGTCATGGTGACTGCTTCAATTGCTTGAGTTGATTGATTGCAAATCGAGTAGATGGTTGAAAAGTCGGCGCGTCTCGATCGCGTTTCCAGTCACGAGCGTGGAATGAACTTCGAGTGAGGTTTGAATTCCACTGTAGTTTTGTCGACATGATGGACGGTTGATGGTCGTCGAAGAAGGTCGCGGAGGGTGGTAGTCCGGTTCCGTCGCTCATGAATCGGTGGTACCTGCTAGAAGACAACCATAAGTAGAACGGTGAAGGTCCATAAGTAGAACGGTGGAGGCGTGTGTATCTCTGGCTGGTGATCAATGTTGGTGACCGACGTCGATGACTGCGTTGTGTCCGTCGACATCAACGTCGACGTGGTGACCAAACCAGGTGGCTGCTGAGTTGTGTGTGGACGTCGTCTATGTTTGGTGGCTTGACAATGAATGCAAGGAGGGCCCTTGCGATGACAGTTTGTGCAAGTGGTACGAATACCAGTGCGTTTGTTTGAGATGGACATTGACACTTTTCAGCAATCGATGACATAGAGAAGGAGAGACTGGACGGAGCATGCTACTCGCGCGAAGAGAAAACGTGTCCGTCGGAACGAGTCGACATGTTCGTGTCGATGTGAACATGCAGATACAAAGACATTGGTCGTGACAAGATGATCTGATCTGAACGTGCTGCTGGAAGAACGTGTTGATCTTAGCGAGGTGGCTGGCTGACAACTGGCTGCAAAGCCTCGACAGTATCTATATTGGCGAGCTCCAACTAACCTACAGCACCGAAAGTACAGGTGATCGATTCTTCCGTCAACAGATTGACATGCTGAGCCAAGTGATGAAGAAAAGTAGCGACAAACAGCCTCACAAACAAGAGCGAGTCCGGCGGTGCACGCAGATTTTTCTTCTTGCTCGGCTTTCGTGTCGTGTCGTCTCGTTCGTGAGCCCGTCTGCATGCGCTGCAGCATGTCAGTCGGCGCAATGTCCAGTATGTGTGAGGTCTACCATCCCCATCCGCCACCGTATCCTCCCCATCCACCACCGTAGCCACCCCATCCCCCGAAGCCACCCCAGGGACGTCCCCATCCCAAGCCTCCCCCACCACTCCTTGGACTTCTTGCCTTCCGTACCGATGACGGCAGTAGGCTCGTTTTCCGCAGCTACATCAGCAGCAGCAGCCTCAACAGGATGCGAATGTCGCTCGGTAGGACCCGCTGCCATCGTGTCAGTGCTGGGTGTAGCTGGTTCCAATGCAGCAAGGGCTCGGAGCGCCGGCTGGTAGTCAGTAGCTGAGGTGACGCTTGCTACAGCAACTAGCGCGGTGACGGCGAGAGCAGTGCACTTCATGGTCGATTTGGTCGGCTGGTCGAGTACTTGCTCGCTAGGTGTTGGTGTGGTAGTGCCAGTTGGTTTGTGAGTGCGATCGATGTACGAGCTAGCGAGTGGGCTGGTGTTGCGATGAGTGACTCGTCACGTAGCGTCATGGTGACTGCTTCAATTGCTTGAGTTGATTGATTGCAAATCGAGTAGATGGTTGAAAAGTCGGCGCGTCTCGATCGCGTTTCCAGTCACGAGCGTGGAATGAACTTCGAGTGAGGTTTGAATTCCACTGTAGTTTTGTCGACATGATGGACGGTTGATGGTCGTCGAAGAAGGTCGCGGAGGGTGGTAGTCCGGTTCCGTCGCTCATGAATCGGTGGTACCTGCTAGAAGACAACCATAAGTAGAACGGTGAAGGTCCATAAGTAGAACGGTGGAGGCGTGTGTATCTCTGGCTGGTGATCAATGTTGGTGACCGACGTCGATGACTGCGTTGTGTCCGTCGACATCAACGTCGACGTGGTGACCAAACCAGGTGGCTGCTGAGTTGTGTGTGGACGTCGTCTATGTTTGGTGGCTTGACAATGAATGCAAGGAGGGCCCTTGCGATGACAGTTTGTGCAAGTGGTACGAATACCAGTGCGTTTGTTTGAGATGGACATTGACACTTTTCAGCAATCGATGACATAGAGAAGGAGAGACTGGACGGAGCATGCTACTCGCGCGAAGAGAAAACGTGTCCGTCGGAACGAGTCGACATGTTCGTGTCGATGTGAACATGCAGATACAAAGACATTGGTCGTGACAAGATGATCTGATCTGAACGTGCTGCTGGAAGAACGTGTTGATCTTAGCGAGGTGGCTGGCTGACAACTGGCTGCAAAGCCTCGACAGTATCTATATTGGCGAGCTCCAACTAACCTACAGCACCGAAAGTACAGGTGATCGATTCTTCCGTCAACAGATTGACATGCTGAGCCAAGTGATGAAGAAAAGTAGCGACAAACAGCCTCACAAACAAGAGCGAGTCCGGCGGTGCACGCAGATTTTTCTTCTTGCTCGGCTTTCGTGTCGTGTCGTCTCGTTCGTGAGCCCGTCTGCATGCGCTGCAGCATGTCAGTCGGCGCAATGTCCAGTATGTGTGAGGTCTACCATCCCCATCCGCCACCGTATCCTCCCCCCATCCACCACCGTAGCCACCCCATCCCCCGAAGCCACCCCCAGGGACGTCCCCATCCCAAGCCTCGCCACCACTCCTTGGACTTCTTGCCTTCCGTACCGATGACGGCAGTAGGCTCGTTTTCCGCAGCTACATCAGCAGCAGCAGCCTCAACAGGATGCGAATGTCGCTCGGTAGGACCCGCTGCCATCGTGTCAGTGCTGGGTGTAGCTGGTTCCAATGCAGCAAGGGCTCGGAGCGCCGGCTGGTAGTCAGTAGCTGAGGTGACGCTTGCTACAGCAACTAGCGCGGTGACGGCAAGAGCAGTGCACTTCATGGTCGATTTGGTCTGTTGGTCGAGTACTTGCTCGCTAGGTGTTGGTGTGGTAGTGCCAGTTGGTTTGTGAGTGCGATCGATGTACGAGCTAGCGAGTGGGCTGGTGTTGCGATGAGTGACTCGTCACGTAGCGTCATGGTGACTGCTTCAATTGCTTGAGTTGATTGATTGCAAATCGAGTAGATGGTTGAAAAGTCGGCGCGTCTCGATCGCGTTTCCAGTCACGAGCGTGGAATGAACTTCGAGTGAGGTTTGAATTCCACTGTAGTTTTGTCGACATGATGGACGGTTGATGGTCGTCGAAGAAGGTCGCGGAGGGTGGTAGTCCGGTTCCGTCGCTCATGAATCGGTGGTACCTGCTAGAAGACAACCATAAGTAGAACGGTGAAGGTCCATAAGTAGAACGGTGGAGGCGTGTGTATCTCTGGCTGGTGATCAATGTTGGTGACCGACGTCGATGACTGCGTTGTGTCCGTCGACATCAACGTCGACGTGGTGACCAAACCAGGTGGCTGCTGAGTTGTGTGTGGACGTCGTCTATGTTTGGTGGCTTGACAATGAATGCAAGGAGGGCCCTTGCGATGACAGTTTGTGCAAGTGGTACGAATACCAGTGCGTTTGTTTGAGATGGACATTGACACTTTTCAGCAATCGATGACATAGAGAAGGAGAGACTGGACGGAGCATGCTACTCGCGCGAAGAGAAAACGTGTCCGTCGGAACGAGTCGACATGTTCGTGTCGATGTGAACATGCAGATACAAAGACATTGGTCGTGACAAGATGATCTGATCTGAACGTGCTGCTGGAAGAACGTGTTGATCTTAGCGAGGTGGCTGGCTGACAACTGGCTGCAAAGCCTCGACAGTATCTATATTGGCGAGCTCCAACTAACCTACAGCACCGAAAGTACAGGTGATCGATTCTTCCGTCAACAGATTGACATGCTGAGCCAAGTGATGAAGAAAAGTAGCGACAAACAGCCTCACAAACAAGAGCGAGTCCGGCGGTGCACGCAGATTTTTCTTCTTGCTCGGCTTTCGTGTCGTGTCGTCTCGTTCGTGAGCCCGTCTGCATGCGCTGCAGCATGTCAGTCGGCGCAATGTCCAGTATGTGTGAGGTCTACCATCCCCATCCGCCACCGTATCCTCCCCATCCACCACCGTAGCCACCCCATCCCCCGAAGCCACCCCAGGGACGTCCCCATCCCAAGCCTCCCCACCACTCCTTGGACTTCTTGCCTTCCGTACCGATGACGGCAGTAGGCTCGTTTTCCGCAGCTACATCAGCAGCAGCAGCCTCAACAGGATGTCGCTCGGTAGGACCCGCTGCCATCGTGTCAGTGCTGGGTGTAGCTGGTTCCGATGCAGCAAGGGCTCGGAGCGCCGGCTGGTAGTCAGTAGCTGAGGTGACGCTTGCTACAGCAACTAGCGCGGTGACGGTGAGAGCAGTGCACTTCATGGTCGATTTGGTCGGTTGGTCGAGTACTTGCTCACTAGGTGTTGGTGTGGTAGTGCCAGTTGGTTTGTGAGTGCGATCGATGTACGAGCTATCGAGTGGGCTGGTGTTGCGACGAGTGACTCGTCACGTAGCGTCATGGTGACTGCTTCAATTGCTTGAGTTGATTGATTGCAAATCGAGTAGATGGTTGAAAAGTCGGCGCGTCTCGATCGCGTTTCCAGTCACGAGCGTGGAATGAACTTCGAGTGAGGTTTGAATTCCACTGTAGTTTTGTCGACATGATGGACGGTTGATGGTCGTCGAAGAAGGTCGCGGAGGGTGGTAGTCCGGTTCCGTCGCTCATGAATCGGTGGTACCTGCTAGAAGACAACCATAAGTAGAACGGTGAAGGTCCATAAGTAGAACGGTGGAGGCGTGTGTATCTCTGGCTGGTGATCAATGTTGGTGACCGACGTCGATGACTGCGTTGTGTCCGTCGACATCAACGTCGACGTGGTGACCAAACCAGGTGGCTGCTGAGTTGTGTGTGGACGTCGTCTATGTTTGGTGGCTTGACAATGAATGCAAGGAGGGCCCTTGCGATGACAGTTTGTGCAAGTGGTATGAATACCAGTGCGTTTGTTTGAGATGGACATTGACACTTTTCAGCAATCGATGACATAGAGAAGGAGAGACTGGACGGAGCATGCTACTCGCGCGAAGAGAAAACGTGTCCGTCGGAACGAGTCGACATGTTCGTGTCGATGTGAACATGCAGATACAAAGACATTGGTCGTGACAAGATGATCTGATCTGAACGTGCTGCTGGAAGAACGTGTTGATCTTAGCGAGGTGGCTGGCTGACAACTGGCTGCAAAGCCTCGACAGTATCTATTTTGGCGAGCTCCAACTAACCTACAGCACCGAAAGTACAGGTGATCGGTTCTTCCGTCAACAGATTGACATGCTGAGCCAAGTGATGACGAAAAGTAGCGACAAACAGCCTCACAAACAAGAGCGAGTCCGGCGGTGCACGCAGATTTTTCTTCTTGCTCGGCTTTCGTGTCGTGTCGTCTCGTTCGTGAGCCCGTCTGCATGCGCTGCAGCATGTCAGTCGGCGCAATGTCCAGTATGTGTGAGGTCTACCATCCCCATCCGCCACCGTATCCTCCCCATCCACCACCGTAGCCACCCCATCCCCCGAAGCCACCCCAGGGACGTCCCCATCCCAAGCCTCCCCACCACTCCTTGGACTTCTTGCCTTCCGTACCGATGACGGCAGTAGGCTCGTTTTCCGCAGCTACATCAGCAGCAGCCTCAACAGGATGTCGCTCGGTAGGACCCGCCGCCATCGTGTCAGTGCTGGGTGTAGCTGGTTCCAATGCAGCAAGGGCTCGGAGCGCCGGCTGGTAGTCAGTAGCTGAGGTGACGCTTGCTACAGCAACTAGCGCGGTGACGGCAAGAGCAGTGCACTTCATGGTCGATTTGGTCTGTTGGTCGAGTACTTGCTCGCTAGGTGTTGGTGTGGTAGTGCCAGTTGGTTTGTGAGTGCGATCGATGTACGAGCTAGCGAGTGGGCTGGTGTTGCGATGAGTGACTCGTCACGTAGCGTCATGGTGACTGCTTCAATTGCTTGAGTTGATTGATTGCAAATCGAGTAGATGGTTGAAAAGTCGGCGCGTCTCGATCGCGTTTCCAGTCACGAGCGTGGAATGAACTTCGAGTGAGGTTTGAATTCCACTGTAGTTTTGTCGACATGATGGACGGTTGATGGTCGTCGAAGAAGGTCGCGGAGGGTGGTAGTCCGGTTCCGTCGCTCATGAATCGGTGGTACCTGCTAGAAGACAACCATAAGTAGAACGGTGAAGGTCCATAAGTAGAACGGTGGAGGTGTGTGTATCTCTGGCTGGTGATCAATGTTGGTGACCGACGTCGATGACTGCGTTGTGTCCGTCGACATCAACGTCGACGTGGTGACCAAACCAGGTGGCTGCTGAGTTGTGTGTGGACGTCGTCTATGTTTGGTGGCTTGACAATGAATGCAAGGAGGGCCCTTGCGATGACAGTTTGTGCAAGTGGTACGAATACCAGTGCGTTTGTTTGAGATGGACATTGACACTTTTCAGCAATCGATGACATAGAGAAGGAGAGACTGGACGGAGCATGCTACTCGCGCGAAGAGAAAACGTGTCCGTCGGAACGAGTCGACATGTTCGTGTCGATGTGAACATGCAGATACAAAGACATTGGTCGTGACAAGATGATCTGATCTGAACGTGCTGCTGGAAGAACGTGTTGATCTTAGCGAGGTGGCTGACTGACAACTGGCTGCAAAGCCTCGACAGTATCTATTTTGGCAAGCTCCAACTAACCTACAGCACCGAAAGTACAGGTGGTCGATCCTTCCGTCAACAGATTGACATGCTGAGCCAAGTGGTGACGAAAAGTAGCGACAAACAGCCTCACAAACAAGAGCGAGTCCGGCGGTGCACGCAGATTTTTCTTCTTGCTCGGCTTTCGTGTCGTGTCGTCTCGTTCGTGAGCCCGTCTGCATGCGCTGCAGCATGTCAGTCGGCGCGATGTCCAGCATGTGTGAGGTCTACCATCCCCATCCGCCACCGTATCCTCCCCATCCACCACCGTAGCCACCCCATCCCCCGAAGCCACCCCAGGGACGTCCCCATCCCAAGCCTCCCCACCACTCCTTGGACTTCTTGCCTTCCGTACCGATGACGGCAGTAGGCTCGTTTTCCGCAGCTACATCAGCAGCAGCAGCCTCAACAGGATGCGAATGTCGCTCGGTAGGACCCGCTGCCATCGTGTCAGTGCTGGGTGTAGCTGGTTCCAATGCAGCAAGGGCTCGGAGCGCCGGCTGGTAGTCAGTAGCTGAGGTGACGCTTGCTACAGCAACTAGCGCGGTGACGGCAAGAGCAGTGCACTTCATGGTCGATTTGGTCGGTTGGTCGAGTACTTGCTCGCTAGGTGTTGGTGTGGTAGTGCCAGTTGGTTTGTGAGTGCGATCGATGTACGAGCTAGCGAGTGGGCTGGTGTTGCGATGAGTGACTCGTCACGTAGCGTCATGGTGACTGCTTCAATTGCTTGAGTTGATTGATTGCAAATCGAGTAGATGGTTGAAAAGTCGGCGCGTCTCGATCGCGTTTCCAGTCACGAGCGTGGAATAGAACTTCGAGCGAGGTTTGAATTCCACAGTAGTTTTGTCGACATGATGGACGGTTGATGGTCGTCGAAGAAGGTCGCGGAGGGTGGTAGTCCGGTTCCGTCGCTCATGAATCGGTGGTACCTGCTAGAAGACAACCATAAGTAGAACGGTGAAGGTCCATAAGTAGAACGGTGGAGGTGTGTGTATCTCTGGCTGGTGATCAATGTTGGTGACCGACGTCGATGACTGCGTTGTGTCCGTCGACATCAACATCGACGTGGTGACCAAACCAGGTGGCTGCTGAGTTGTGTGTGGACGTCGTCTATGTTTGGTGGCTTGACAATGAATGCAAGGAGGGCCCTTGCGATGACAGTTTGTGCAAGTGGTATGAATACCAGTGCGTTTGTTTGAGATGGACATTGACACTTTTCGGCAATCGATGACATAGAAGGAGAGACTGGACGGAGCATGCTACTCGCGCGAAGAGAAAACGTGTCCGTCGGAACGAGTCGACATGTTCGTGTCGATGTGAACATGCAGATACAAAGACATTGGTCGTGACAAGATGATCTGATCTGAACGTGGTGCTGGAAGAACGTGTTGATCTTAGCGAGGTGGCTGGCTGACAACTGGCTGCAAAGCCTCGACAGTATCTATATTGGCGAGCTTTAACTAACCTACAGCACCGAAAGTACAGGTGGTCGATTCTTCCGTCAACAGATTGACATGCTGAGCCAAGTGATGACGAAAAGTAGCGACAAACAGCCTCACAAACAAGAGCGAGTCCGGCGGTGCACGCAGATTTTTCTTCTTGCTCGGCTTCCGTGTCGTCTCGTTCGTGAGCCCGTCTGCATGCGCTGCAGCATGTCAGTCGGCGCAATGTCCAGTATGTGTGAGGTCTACCATCCCCATCCGCCACCGTATCCTCCCCATCCACCACCGTAGCCACCCCATCCCCCGAAGCCACCCCAGGGACGTCCCCATCCCAAGCCTCCCCACCACTCCTTGGACTTCTTGCCTTCCGCACCGATGACGGCAGTAGGCTCGTTTTCCGCAGCTACATCAGCAGCAGCCTCAACAGGATGCGAATGTCGCTCGGTAGGACCCGCTGCCATCGTGTCAGTGCTGGGTGTAGCTGGTTCCGATGCAGCAAGGGCTCGGAGCGCCGGCTGGTAGTCAGTAGCTGAGGCGACGCTTGCTACAGCAACTAGCGCGGTGACGGCAAGAGCAGTGCACTTCATGGTCGATTTGGTCGGCTGGTCGAGTACTTGCTCGCTAGGTGTTGGTGTGGTAGTGCCAGTTGGTTTGTGAGTGCGATCGATGTACGAGCTAGCGAGTGGGCTGGTGTTGCGACGAGTGACTCGTCACGTAGCGTCATGGTGACTGCTTCAATTGCTTGAGTTGATTGATTGCAAATCGAGTAGATGGTTGAAAAGTCGGCGCGTCTCGATCGCGTTTCCAGTCACGAGCGTGGAATGAACTTCGAGCGAGGTTTGAATTCCACAGTAGTTTTGTCGACATGATGGACGGTTGATGGTCGTCGAAGAAGGTCGCGGAGGGTGGTAGTCCGGTTCCGTCGCTCATGAATCGGTGGTACCTGCTAGAAGACAACCATAAGTAGAACGGTGAAGGTCCATAAGTAGAACGGTGGAGGTGTGTGTATCTCTGGCTGGTGATCAATGTTGGTGACCGACGTCGATGACTGCGTTGTGTCCGTCGACATCAACATCGACGTGGTGACCAAACCAGGTGGCTGCTGAGTTGTGTGTGGACGTCGTCTATGTTTGGTGGCTTGACAATGAATGCAAGGAGGGCCCTTGCGATGACAGTTTGTGCAAGTGGTATGAATACCAGTGCGTTTGTTTGAGATGGACATTGACACTTTTCGGCAATCGATGACATAGAAGGAGAGACTGGACGGAGCATGCTACTCGCGCGAAGAGAAAACGTGTCCGTCGGAACGAGTCGACATGTTCGTGTCGATGTGAACATGCAGATACAAAGACATTGGTCGTGACAAGATGATCTGATCTGAACGTGGTGCTGGAAGAACGTGTTGATCTTAGCGAGGTGGCTGGCTGACAACTGGCTGCAAAGCCTCGACAGTATCTATATTGGCGAGCTTTAACTAACCTACAGCACCGAAAGTACAGGTGACATGCTGAGCCAAGTGATGACGAAAAGTAGCGACAAACAGCCTCACAAACAAGAGCGAGTCCGGCGGTGCACGCAGATTTTTCTTCTTGCTCGGCTTCCGTGTCGTCTCGTTCGTGAGCCCGTCTGCATGCGCTGCAGCATGTCAGTCGGCGCAATGTCCAGTATGTGTGAGGTCTACCATCCCCATCCGCCACCGTATCCTCCCCATCCACCACCGTAGCCACCCCATCCCCCGAAGCCACCCCAGGGACGTCCCCATCCCAAGCCTCCCCACCACTCCTTGGACTTCTTGCCTTCCGCACCGATGACGGCAGTAGGCTCGTTTTCCGCAGCTACATCAGCAGCAGCCTCAACAGGATGCGAATGTCGCTCGGTAGGACCCGCTGCCATCGTGTCAGTGCTGGGTGTAGCTGGTTCCGATGCAGCAAGGGCTCGGAGCGCCGGCTGGTAGTCAGTTGCTGAGGCGACGCTTGCTACAGCAACTAGCGCGGTGACGGCAAGAGCAGTGCACTTCATGGTCGATTTGGTCGGTTGGTCGAGTACTTGCTCGCTAGGTGTTGGTGTGGTAGTGCCAGTTGGTTTGTGAGTGCGATCGATGTACGAGCTAGCGAGTGGGCTGGTGTTGCGACGAGTGACTCGTCACGTAGCGTCATGGTGACTGCTTCAATTGCTTGAGTTGATTGATTGCAAATCGAGTAGATGGTTGAAAAGTCGGCGCGTCTCGATCGCGTTTCCAGTCACGAGCGTGGAATAGAACTTCGAGCGAGGTTTGAATTCCACAGTAGTTTTGTCGACATGATGGACGGTTGATGGTCGTCGAAGAAGGTCGCGGAGGGTGGTAGTCCGGTTCCGTCGCTCATGAATCGGTGGTACCTGCTAGAAGACAACCATAAGTAGAACGGTGAAGGTCCATAAGTAGAACGGTGGAGGTGTGTGTATCTCTGGCTGGTGATCAATGTTGGTGACCGACGTCGATGACTGCGTTGTGTCCGTCGACATCAACATCGACGTGGTGACCAAACCAGGTGGCTGCTGAGTTGTGTGTGGACGTCGTCTATGTTTGGTGGCTTGACAATGAATGCAAGGAGGGCCCTTGCGATGACAGTTTGTGCAAGTGGTATGAATACCAGTGCGTTTGTTTGAGATGGACATTGACACTTTTCGGCAATCGATGACATAGAAGGAGAGACTGGACGGAGCATGCTACTCGCGCGAAGAGAAAACGTGTCCGTCGGAACGAGTCGACATGTTCGTGTCGATGTGAACATGCAGATACAAAGACATTGGTCGTGACAAGATGATCTGATCTGAACGTGGTGCTGGAAGAACGTGTTGATCTTAGCGAGGTGGCTGGCTGACAACTGGCTGCAAAGCCTCGACAGTATCTATATTGGCGAGCTTTAACTAACCTACAGCACCGAAAGTACAGGTGACATGCTGAGCCAAGTGATGACGAAAAGTAGCGACAAACAGCCTCACAAACAAGAGCGAGTCCGGCGGTGCACGCAGATTTTTCTTCTTGCTCGGCTTCCGTGTCGTCTCGTTCGTGAGCCCGTCTGCATGCGCTGCAGCATGTCAGTCGGCGCAATGTCCAGTATGTGTGAGGTCTACCATCCCCATCCGCCACCGTATCCTCCCCATCCACCACCGTAGCCACCCCATCCCCCGAAGCCACCCCAGGGACGTCCCCATCCCAAGCCTCCCCACCACTCCTTGGACTTCTTGCCTTCCGCACCGATGACGGCAGTAGGCTCGTTTTCCGCAGCTACATCAGCAGCAGCAGCCTCAACAGGATGCGAATGTCGCTCGGTAGGACCCGCTGCCATCGTGTCAGTGCTGGGTGTAGCTGGTTCCGATGCAGCAAGGGCTCGGAGCGCCGGCTGGTAGTCAGTAGCTGAGGCGACGCTTGCTACAGCAACTAGCGCGGTGACGGCAAGAGCAGTGCACTTCATGGTCGATTTGGTCGGCTGGTCGAGTACTTGCTCGCTAGGTGTTGGTGTGGTAGTGCCAGTTGGTTTGTGAGTGCGATCGATGTACGAGCTAGCGAGTGGGCTGGTGTTGCGACGAGTGACTCGTCACGTAGCGTCATGGTGACTGCTTCAATTGCTTGAGTTGATTGATTGCAAATCGAGTAGATGGTTGAAAAGTCGGCGCGTCTCGATCGCGTTTCCAGTCACGAGCGTGGAATAGAACTTCGAGCGAGGTTTGAATTCCACAGTAGTTTTGTCGACATGATGGACGGTTGATGGTCGCCGAAGAAGGTCGCGGAGGGTGGTAGTCCGGTTCCGTCGCTCATGAATCGGTGGTACCTGCTAGAAGACAACCATAAGTAGAACGGTGAAGGTCCATAAGTAGAACGGTGGAGGTGTGTGTATCTCTGGCTGGTGATCAATGTTGGTGACCGACGTCGATGACTGCGTTGTGTCCGTCGACATCAACATCGACGTGGTGACCAAACCAGGTGGCTGCTGAGTTGTGTGTGGACGTCGTCTATGTTTGGTGGCTTGACAATGAATGCAAGGAGGGCCCTTGCGATGACAGTTTGTGCAAGTGGTATGAATACCAGTGCGTTTGTTTGAGATGGACATTGACACTTTTCGGCAATCGATGACATAGAAGGAGAGACTGGACGGAGCATGCTACTCGCGCGAAGAGAAAACGTGTCCGTCGGAACGAGTCGACATGTTCGTGTCGATGTGAACATGCAGATACAAAGACATTGGTCGTGACAAGATGATCTGATCTGAACGTGGTGCTGGAAGAACGTGTTGATCTTAGCGAGGTGGCTGGCTGACAACTGGCTGCAAAGCCTCGACAGTATCTATATTGGCGAGCTTTAACTAACCTACAGCACCGAAAGTACAGGTGGTCGATTCTTCCGTCAACAGATTGACATGCTGAGCCAAGTGATGACGAAAAGTAGCGACAAACAGCCTCACAAACAAGAGCGAGTCCGGCGGTGCACGCAGATTTTTCTTCTTGCTCGGCTTCCGTGTCGTCTCGTTCGTGAGCCCGTCTGCATGCGCTGCAGCATGTCAGTCGGCGCAATGTCCAGTATGTGTGAGGTCTACCATCCCCATCCGCCACCGTATCCTCCCCATCCACCACCGTAGCCACCCCATCCCCCGAAGCCACCCCAGGGACGTCCCCATCCCAAGCCTCCCCACCACCCTTGGACTTCTTGCCTTCCGCACCGATGACGGCAGTAGGCTCGTTTTCCGCAGCTACATCAGCAGCAGCCTCAACAGGATGTCGATCGGTAGGACCCGCTGCCATCGTGTCAGTGCTGGGTGTAGCTGGTTCCGATGCAGCAAGGGCTCGGAGCGCCGGCTGGTAGTCAGTTGCTGAGGCGACGCTTGCTACAGCAACTAGCGCGGTGACGGCAAGAGCAGTGCACTTCATGGTCGATTTGGTCGGCTGGTCGAGTACTTGCTCGCTAGGTGTTGGTGTGGTAGTGCCAGTTGGTTTGTGAGTGCGATCGATGTACGAGCTAGCGAGTGGGCTGGTGTTGCGACGAGTGACTCGTCACGTAGCGTCATGGTGACTGCTTCAATTGCTTGAGTTGATTGATTGCAAATCGAGTAGATGGTTGAAAAGTCGGCGCGTCTCGATCGCGTTTCCAGTCACGAGCGTGGAATAGAACTTCGAGCGAGGTTTGAATTCCACAGTAGTTTTGTCGACATGATGGACGGTTGATGGTCGCCGAAGAAGGTCGCGGAGGGTGGTAGTCCGGTTCCGTCGCTCATGAATCGGTGGTACCTGCTAGAAGACAACCATAAGTAGAACGGTGAAGGTCCATAAGTAGAACGGTGGAGGTGTGTGTATCTCTGGCTGGTGATCAATGTTGGTGACCGACGTCGATGACTGCGTTGTGTCCGTCGACATCAACATCGACGTGGTGACCAAACCAGGTGGCTGCTGAGTTGTGTGTGGACGTCGTCTATGTTTGGTGGCTTGACAATGAATGCAAGGAGGGCCCTTGCGATGACAGTTTGTGCAAGTGGTATGAATACCAGTGCGTTTGTTTGAGATGGACATTGACACTTTTCGGCAATCGATGACATAGAAGGAGAGACTGGACGGAGCATGCTACTCGCGCGAAGAGAAAACGTGTCCGTCGGAACGAGTCGACATGTTCGTGTCGATGTGAACATGCAGATACAAAGACATTGGTCGTGACAAGATGATCTGATCTGAACGTGGTGCTGGAAGAACGTGTTGATCTTAGCGAGGTGGCTGGCTGACAACTGGCTGCAAAGCCTCGACAGTATCTATATTGGCGAGCTTTAACTAACCTACAGCACCGAAAGTACAGGTGGTCGATTCTTCCGTCAACAGATTGACATGCTGAGCCAAGTGATGACGAAAAGTAGCGACAAACAGCCTCACAAACAAGAGCGAGTCCGGCGGTGCACGCAGATTTTTCTTCTTGCTCGGCTTCCGTGTCGTCTCGTTCGTGAGCCCGTCTGCATGCGCTGCAGCATGTCAGTCGGCGCAATGTCCAGTATGTGTGAGGTCTACCATCCCCATCCGCCACCGTATCCTCCCCATCCACCACCGTAGCCACCCCATCCCCCGAAGCCACCCCAGGGACGTCCCCATCCCAAGCCTCCCCACCACTCCTTGGACTTCTTGCCTTCCGCACCGATGACGGCAGTAGGTTCGTTTTCCGCAGCTACATCAGCAGCAGCAGCCTCAACAGGATGTCGCTCGGTAGGACCCGCTGCCATCGTGTCAGTGCTGGGTGTAGCTGGTTCCGATGCAGCAAGGGCTCGGAGCGCCGGCTGGTAGTCAGTTGCTGAGGCGACGCTTGCTACAGCAACTAGCGCGGTGACGGCAAGAGCAGTGCACTTCATGGTCGATTTGGTCGGCTGGTCGAGTACTTGCTCGCTAGGTGTTGGTGTGGTAGTGCCAGTTGGTTTGTGAGTGCGATCGATGTACGAGCTAGCGAGTGGGCTGGTGTTGCGATGAGTGACTCGTCACGTAGCGTCATGGTGACTGCTTCAATTGCTTGAGTTGATTGATTGCAAATCGAGTAGATGGTTGAAAAGTCGGCGCGTCTCGATCGCGTTTCCAGTCACGAGCGTGGAATGAACTTCGAGCGAGGTTTGAATTCCACTGTAGTTTTGTCGACAGGATGGACGAGTGATGGTCGCCGAAGAAGGTCGCGGAGGGTGGTAGTCCGGTTCCGTCGCTCATGAATCGGTGGTACCTGCTAGAAGACAACCATAAGTAGAACGGTGAAGGTCCATAAGTAGAACGGTGGAGGTGTGTGTATCTCTGGCTGGTGATCAATGTTGGTGACCGACGTCGATGACTGCGTTGTGTCCGTCGACATCAACATCGACGTGGTGACCAAACCAGGTGGCTGCTGAGTTGTGTGTGGACGTCGTCTATGTTTGGTGGCTTGACAATGAATGCAAGGAGGGCCCTTGCGATGACAGTTTGTGCAAGTGGTATGAATACCAGTGCGTTTGTTTGAGATGGACATTGACACTTTTCGGCAATCGATGACATAGAAGGAGAGACTGGACGGAGCATGCTACTCGCGCGAAGAGAAAACGTGTCCGTCGGAACGAGTCGACATGTTCGTGTCGATGTGAACATGCAGATACAAAGACATTGGTCGTGACAAGATGATCTGATCTGAACGTGGTGCTGGAAGAACGTGTTGATCTTAGCGAGGTGGCTGGCTGACAACTGGCTGCAAAGCCTCGACAGTATCTATATTGGCGAGCTTTAACTAACCTACAGCACCGAAAGTACAGGTGGTCGATTCTTCCGTCAACAGATTGACATGCTGAGCCAAGTGATGACGAAAAGTAGCGACAAACAGCCTCACAAACAAGAGCGAGTCCGGCGGTGCACGCAGATTTTTCTTCTTGCTCGGCTTCCGTGTCGTCTCGTTCGTGAGCCCGTCTGCATGCGCTGCAGCATGTCAGTCGGCGCAATGTCCAGTATGTGTGAGGTCTACCATCCCCATCCGCCACCGTATCCTCCCCATCCACCACCGTAGCCACCCCATCCCCCGAAGCCACCCCAGGGACGTCCCCATCCCAAGCCTCCCCACCACTCCTTGGACTTCTTGCCTTCCGCACCGATGACGGCAGTAGGTTCGTTTTCCGCAGCTACATCAGCAGCAGCCTCAACAGGATGCGAATGTCGCTCGGTAGGACCCGCTGCCATCGTGTCAGTGCTGGGTGTAGCTGGTTCCGATGCAGCAAGGGCTCGGAGCGCCGGCTGGTAGTCAGTTGCTGAGGCGACGCTTGCTACAGCAACTAGCGCGGTGACGGCAAGAGCAGTGCACTTCATGGTCGATTTGGTCGGCTGGTCGAGTACTTGCTCGCTAGGTGTTGGTGTGGTAGTGCCAGTTGGTTTGTGAGTGCGATCGATGTACGAGCTAGCGAGTGGGCTGGTGTTGCGATGAGTGACTCGTCACGTAGCGTCATGGTGACTGCTTCAATTGCTTGAGTTGATTGATTGCAAATCGAGTAGATGGTTGAAAAGTCGGCGCGTCTCGATCGCGTTTCCAGTCACGAGCGTGGAATGAACTTCGAGCGAGGTTTGAATTCCACTGTAGTTTTGTCGACATGATGGACGAGTGATGGTCGCCGAAAAAAGTCGCGGAGGGTGGTAGTCCGGTTCCGTCGCTCATGAATCGGTGGTACCTGCTAGAAGACAACCATAAGTAGAACGGTGAAGGTCCATAAGTAGAACGGTGGAGGTGTGTGTATCTCTGGCTGGTGATCAATGTTGGTGACCGACGTCGATGACTGCGTTGTGTCCGTCGACATCAACATCGACGTGGTGACCAAACCAGGTGGCTGCTGAGTTGTGTGTGGACGTCGTCTATGTTTGGTGTCTTGACAATGAATGCAAGGAGGGCCCTTGCGATGACAGTTTGTGCAAGTGGTATGAATACCAGTGCGTTTGTTTGAGATGGACATTGACACTTTTCGGCAATCGATGACATAGAAGGAGAGACTGGACGGAGCATACTACTCGCGCCTTGAAACTCGAAGCGACGAATAAGTTGTCCTTCGAGCTCTAGTCGATTGTGGGGCGTCCAACAATTTTGTGCACAGCATAATCGCTAGAAGATGATCACTTTAAGTTCAGTGAATGTGACACACCTCCTACGAAGATGACGGTACATCTTGCGACGAGCGCATCCGTAACCGCGTGAAGTGCGGTTATAGTGAAGATCCGCTATACGGTAGAAGATACCCAATATGACGATGACTTTATCGTACTGGATCTGGATGACAAATTTGATGTCATCCTTGGAATACCGTGGCTCAGAAGGTACGAACCACGGGTAAACTGGCAGCATCGAACAGTAAGTGATGCCTGCCGCTTGTTCATCAGATGGCCATCTGATGAACGTTTTGGAGCGTCCACAAGCGTGTGGATGTACTACGAGTGAGTGCGATGGCCTCGCTTGTAGTACGGTCGTTAGTACGACTGCACAAAACCTTAGTGTACTAAGCAGTTACACTTCGGTGCAAAGTTCCGGCGGCTGTGAGGAAACACAGGCTGCGCCGAAGGTCCACCACTCGAATAAGTCGGGTGGACTGGGACAAAGATGTATCCCTAGCGGGGAACATCTTGAAGAGAAACAATCGATCGCTCAGGTTAAGCGAAACGATAATCCTAGATCGACTGGAGGAGTCTTCGTAGAGGATCTCGCTGAGGTTGCGCAACCACAGCTAGAGGAAGTAAAGGGAATAAGTCCCAAGATTACAAATACGGCGGAAATAAGTTCCCCGAAACCCGAGGGAATAAGTCCCCGGGAAGCCGAAGGAATAAGTCCTTCGAGGCCTGAGGGAATAAGTCCCCAGGAAGTAATTGGTGACAGAGACATTAAATGTCCTAGGTCAATGACGGATCAAGTGTAGGCGCTTATACACCTGATCTGATTGCGCCTCCGAAGTTAACTTCGGAGATCACTCAGCTGCCAACGCTCGAACATAAGGGCTTCTTGCGTGATCTGCGTACAGTGGCAAAGTCAAGCAGATCTGCATACTTTCGTCAATGACGACGGGTGGCTGTAACCGGCATAAGGTCAGCAACAGTGTTTTGCTGAGAACGGAAGAGTTCTCCGGTAGTTCAAATCGATGGACGAGAATGTCTTAGATTAAAAGACACGAATTGAGCGATATGACTCCCAATCGTGGGAATCGCTCAAGACAAATCCTCCTCTATGAAGATTTGGTTGAATTCAAGGATGTATTCCCTGGGAAACTGTTCCGTGCGAATTACCGAAGGATAAAGGTATTTCGACACGAGGTCGAGCTTAAACCAGGCTCGAAGTACACGTGTCATGAAGCAGTGGCCACTGCCCTCGTGAACAAGTACTTGCGGTCGACAAGTTCTTTGCCGATCGTTTAGCTGCGGGCCATGTGAGGGAATCAACTCCCCACATAGCTCTCCGACCTTCTGTGTGCGAAAAGCAACAGGAGGGTGGCGGATAGTGCATGCATTTAACAAGTTGAACGCTGCGACGGTACCGGCTCAGACGCCGATACCAAGGAAGGACGTAATCATTGATGGTATGTCAAAGAGTACCATCTTTTTCGTCCATGGATTTGATGGATGGCTTCTATCAAATCCTTATGCGAGAACGGGATATACCCTATACTGCAGCAGTGCGAGCACGCCTTACAGGCATGCTCTGGGAATGGCTAGTAATGCCACAAGGGGCTTTAGTAATGCCCCTGCCACGTTCAACAGTGTGTATCACATCTGTTGAAATAATACGAGAATTCGGGCCGAGTTATTTTCGATGACGTATTCAAATTCCCATAGTCGAGCTATGGATGGAAAGTCGGACGTTGAGGTTCACAGGTACCGTCCGACGAGTTCTCTAGAATAATGCTAAAGCATCAACTGTATGCAAACCTCCAAGAAGTGTATATTTGCAGCAAGCGCGAAATACCCCTTCTTAGGTGCATCGTTAGTAGAGAACTTTGTACGTCCTGATCCCGAAAAGAATCAAGGTGCCCTCTAGTCTTGATTCTTTTTTTTTTTGTTAGATATTGTAATCACTGACTGGCCTGTGCCGGTTGACTTCAAAGGTCTTCGAGAACTTCCTTGAGGCTAGCTTGGCGTATTTGCTACAAGTGTTCACTCATTCCACGCCGAGATGACTGTGCACCACTCCCGTTTGTTGAAAAGAACGAGAGGTGTTTATGGAACGCTGAATATCAGCGCTCCTTTGAGGGGGTATCAAGCAGAGCTTGATACAATCCCCTGATCTAGCAATTGCCGATCAGGACAGGCCATTTCATGTGGTCTGTGATGCCATTAGTTTTGCAATCGGCTGTGCATTAATGCAGTACGACCTTGAAGGCGTTGAACGCGTCGTCTGCTATCAGTCGCGTCAGCTGCAACCAGCTGAGCGGACCTATCCAGTGCATGACAAGGAACTAATTGCCTTGAAGTATGCACTCGCGAAGTTCAGAGTCTATCTGTTAGGAGATAGACCCTTCATTGTTTACACTGGCCATGCGTCATTACGCACGGCAGTGAACAGCCCGCACCTTTCACAACGAATGGCGCGGTGGTTGTCATTCTTTGCAGAATACAACTTTACGGTCGAGTACAAACCAGGACGACTTAATGTCGTCGCTGATGCACTCTCACGTCGTCCCGACTTTGAACCAGTCGTGAAACCCAACAGTAAGACAGCCACTGTTGCGGTTATGACGTCCTCAGTACCAACTTCAACGTTGCATGATGATGTAAGGCGGGCGTATGTCCAAGATGGTGAGATTGTGAAGTTGTTGACACATCTCTCACAAATATCTTGAGAGTCGTTGAAACGATTGTCGTCTGCGTATCGATCTGCATCAGATCGATACACTACTCGCAACGGTTTACTGTGTTATACAGCCGTTTCTGGTGACACACCACGTGTTGTCATTCCAGATGATACTGATCTGCGTTTGCGGATCATGTTCGAGTATCACGATGCTCCTATAGGAGGACATCGTGGCCGGGAGAAAACATATCTCACGGTAAGTCGAGACCCTTTTACTGGCCCCGCCAGTATCAGTTTGTGCGAAAGTATGTTCGCGCATGCGAAGTCTGTCAACGAGTGAAGTCAAGTCCTTCACTGCGTGCACCTTTACAGCCTCTACCGGTTCCGGCTGAGTGCGGGAATCCATCTCAATGGATTTTGTCTTCGGGTTACCCAAAGACGCACGCGGGAATACGGGTATTCTCGTATTTGTTGACAGATTCAGCAAAATGGTACACCTAGTGGCTGTACCCGAGTCAATCACGGCAAGTGGCTGTGCTTGTATCTTTATTGACACCATCTTCCGACTTCATGGGTTGCCCCGTGAACTCGTATCAGACAGAGATCCACGATTCACTGCTGATTTCTGGCGTTCCGTGTTCAAATCACTCGGAACGCGCTTGAAGATGTCGACATCTGATCATCCAGAGTCAGATGGTCAGACGGAACGTGCCAATCGTGTCCTCGAAGAGATACTTCGAGGATACGTACACTCCTTTAAGAGTTGTGAGTGAGTTTTTGCCAATGGTAGAGTTTGCCATTAACAACTCGGTGCATGCGTCCACGACACATACACCGTTTTACGTGAATGGCTTGCGCCATCCGCGTGTACCCACCTTACTCGAGTGTAACTGTGGTTTGAGGGGGAGGGACTCGCGCGAGCAAAAACCGATTTGGTTCACGCTCATCACGCTCTGACGAAGAGGTCATTGCGTTTGACGCCGATATCGACAACATCGATATCGAAGATGATGATGACAGTGAGATATAAGAGATCCCAGTGGGGCGAGGAAGCCCTCACTAAAGAGAAGGTTGATGTTGCTGCAGTGCGCTCACAGCACACTGAAGCTAACGAGTCATCAGATGAGTTCATACTGGCTCGTGAAACGGTAGTCCGTTTCGTGCAAGACTCCATCGCCGAAGCGGTGATTAAGCAAAATCAAAACGCTGACAAGAATGGAAGGGCAATCACTCTTTCATTTAATCAAGGTGACTTAGTCCTACTGTCTACGGTTAATCTACCAAAGCATGTAGTGACTAACTTGGGTAGTAGTAAACTACTACCCAAGTACATCGGCCCATTTCGTGTTTTGGATTGCCTAGGCAATGCATACACGATCAAGCTATCACGTAAGATGCGAACGCGTCCCACGTTTTACGTTGGTCAGCCAAGCCGTACCATCGATACGCTGCTTCTTCCGATGAAGAACGCCCTTGCTCTCAAGCATCTCGCAGAGAGCCTTGTGCTCCAGACGGTGGGCATCGACAAGAGTCTGAAGAGCATTCATCTCATCCCGAGACCGATCAACAATCCCACGAGCTACCCTTAGCTCGTCACGAAAAGATGTCAGAGATCTCTCGTTCTCAAGCTGAGCAAAGGCAAACTAAGCTCGATGCTTCGAGGCAGTGTCCACCATTTGGAGACGCCTGTCCCGCTCATGTTCGAGATCGTTGCGTAACCCTTGCGTTACGCGATCAAAGAAGCTCTCGGGAACACATGGATCCCCATGATCGTGTGGAGAGCGTCTTTCCTCCTCCTCCACCTCCTTTAGAGGACTCTCGCCAGTGGCCAGAGCTATCTAGTTGAGCAGCTGTTGAGAGACCGCGACGTAAGACTGGACGTCGGACGAGTTATCTCGTCCGGTGGCGCAACTACCCCCGTCCTGGGATACTTGGGAGCCCCGCTCCCAACTGATGATTGACGTCCTGGGTCTGGTTGAGCAGTACGACGCGGCGCGTCCTGTGCCGCAGAAGGACCGCCGGAGAAAGTCTTCCGGCACGGTCGTAAAGGGATTTCGGAGTTGTCAATGGCCTTCGTACATCTCCAGTAGAGATAAGTACGCGCCACCACAGGCTGGTAAGGAGGTAAGCCTCATAGGTGCTCTTGCAGGGAATTGTTCACACAACGTGGCAAGGTCTCCCCATGAGAGGCGGGGTAATCCCTTCTCCCTTGACAGACGATGCAGCTTGTAGCGTTCACCTGTCGGGGTTCGCTTTTCAAACTTATCACGAGCTTTGACAAGTTCGTCGTTCCAAGCGTCACGACCCTGCATCCTCCAAGGTTATGGATGCCAGAGCGTTCCTGCCTTGAAGCAGTGAGGACATCACGCTTGTGATTCCCACTGTACCATCGATGTCTAAAATAAAGCATCGATGAAGAATTCATTCTCAGCGCGATAGTTCTTCGCGCTGGGGTCAAATCGATGGATCCTTGACGAATCGAACAATCGTGTTCGATAACGATCACTCGTCGTCGCCGACAAGTGATCCATGACAGATTTTGGAGGCATCCATGCCTTCTTCTCGGGAGCGAGACCCAAGAAATTGCGATCCCGCTCTTCCTGCGATGTGCCGACAAAAGTACTGGCACCTCGTTGCGAAGCAGTGTCCATAGGAGAACCGACACCACTGTTAGCGCCCGAGTCTCGCGTCCTCGAGCGCCTTCGCTTCGGCGATGGTTCATCTGATTCATCAGATGAACCAAATAATAGACGACGCAAAGCGGCATCATCCATGCCACGCTTGACAGGCGGCTTCGTTCGGATCGCCGTCGATACGGATCCGTCTTCCGTATCAGAAGAGTACGAGACACCGAGCTCATACTCTGTGAAGACGTGAGTGTCTTCTTCATGACCAGCGCCTGCATCACCAAAAAAGTGACACAGGCTGGGTCGCTTCAGCAGCCGATGGAGACATCAGTTGCTGTGGCTTCTGCTTCGGCGTCCGCACAGAGACGTGCCCGGACGCGCTCTCAACGGCCTTGCTCGCGCATCGCATGGAAGCGTTAACCATGCGATGAAATGTTGAAAAGTGGACTCCGGACCAACAAGTACAAACCCTGTCCCAACTGATTTGGGACGAGTATCCATTTAGTCAAATCAGTCACTAAAGTGACTGATGGTTAAGGGGGGGTGATGTAACGGGGTGAATCATTACATAACAATTTATAAGAAATTGTTAATAGAATATAACTATAAGAGCTATATTCTCAGAATATTGTCATAAGGACAATATTCTGCAGCACTTACGAGCAGTTCCTAATTGGTTGATGGAGGCCATTCTATCAACCAACGAAGACGCGCCACGACAGACGCACGCAATGAGTGGTGAGCAGATAGTTGATATACACATTTGTATTCAGACATAGTTAGAAGAAGATAAATAGTGATTTATTGCAGACATTAACTATTATAAATACAGTTCTATTTTTTATTTTAATAAAGTACTCGCTTCTCATACCGTCTTCCTCTGCACGTACGAGAGTGTACAATGAAGTTCCCGAGGCACCGCCTTATTCTGTTATCAGGAATAAGTAACCTGAAAATACTGTCCGCCAGGACAAGCTTCAGGGTGCCCCGTTACATATAGGGTAAAAAGGAGGCTTTCACGCAAAGCAAATTTCGAGCCTTCTCCCAGATCAGCTTGTTGCTGATGATATCGTAAATCGAAATAAATTAGTCTAACATAAGGTCTTCAGTTGCTGCGTGTCTCCTGGCTGATTGGAATTCTAGTCAGAGTTAACGCTATAAATTGCCACGCAGAAAATGATTTTGCTAGAAGTAGAGCTCTCAACACACCGTCCCTGCTAGATGTATATCCAGTAAATCATTTGCTAATTTGTGAGGACCGATGAGTGGCATGGTGTGCGCAGATTAGATTGCTATGCTGGCCTGTGGGGAAAATCGCGCTCTTGGTATCGTTCTTGCTCGTGGCACGTCGGAGCATGGAAAAGCTCCTAGAGACGTTGACCCGGTCCAATTGATTGTGTATTTTTTGCTCTTTATGGCAGACCAACGTGAGTGTGTTCATAACGACTTGATCTTTGTATGTACTTTTTTTGGTCAGGTGCTGCGTATTACTGAACTGTGATTGTATTACATGTTTGCGTGTTAGAATCCGTGAGATGTCTTTACTTCTTAATGTTTTGTAATTCATGGTTGTTATAAAATTTGTTGAAACTTGCACGATTTTAAGCGCTCATCCATCACATCGACAATACGGGCTTTTAGCAGTTAAAGAGCTCGGCAGGAACGTCAATTGCCCGGTCGAAGATTGAAGAGAAGTATACCCAGCGGCATTGCTCGGCATTGCAAAATTTACTAATCTTTGACTCTTCCCGGTTCCATTACTTATTTCATCTACTGTCATAAGAAATATGGCGGTCTGCTAGAGCGTTTAACCTCGGTCTTTTTTCTTTTTGAGCTATTTCAGATAAAAGAAAACTAAAAAACGAAGTCAGCCATAAATTTAGCCAAGATGCATAAATCCAATCTATACACCAGTCTCATACCTTAATATCACAGAAGAACACCTTTTAGCTCATTCGATCGGACGGATAAAAATATCAGCTTGTAGAGGATGGTAGGTGGTTGCGGGTTGTCACGTCTTCACCATTTTTTGGGAGTGTGTACATTCCGCGTGTTGTAAAATCTGCAAGATGAACCTGCAAGAAACAAGAACAAAACACAAAGTCTTTACAATCCTGCCCAGAACCACTACCCATAACTTTGTAGCATTCGTGCTTCATTTTTTAATGCCTCCAGAGACTTCATACACAGTCATGATGGATTGCTGAACGCTTCCAGCTCTTGTAGAAATTGACAATATGTATAGTCTCTAGCACAACTAAAGGCTGGCTTCGCAAGGAAACTCCACGCAGGGCCGTCAACTATCGCTTTATCATACAACACTCATTTTGAGTGTTTTCAGATCTACCAGGGCGAGGTTGCGTTACGCGGAGGATTGCTTAAGTCTATACACCGGGCATTATTCCTTTGACGACTCTACCCAGATGCTACCAATTCTGTTATTCAGTGGATGGCTACACCGGTTCAAAATCCGATACGGCATTAAATCGAACCGTCGCTTAATAAGTGTAAGTTTCATCCGACACGGTGCTCATTAAACAAGCAAGACCTGGCTTGCGGAAGATTTTTGAAAAATCAGTAGGCATCTACAATCTGGATGAAATAGGCCTTGTTATCGTATGCAGGTAGTCTGTCCAAGATTGACTGATTCTTCATTATTAGCGAACGTTAGTTCTTGAATTTGCTCTAGGCTGAAAAATTGGCTCACAACTAAACAACTAGAGGGCAAAATCAAAGCAAAGACCATCTTACATATGTTGTTTGCTAAAATGGTAACGGTATAGTACAACTCTTACTTTGGATCCTTGGCAAGCTATTAAAATCCGAGATCTTTCAAAAAATATCAAACGTCACGATCTCGGCTATAAATATTGCGCAAACACGAAGGCTGGATGAAACGAATTTCATTTGGACATAGTGGTATAATGGCGAAATGAGCGGCCGAAGTGTCCTTCTGCTGATAAAAAAATCTAACGTTTTCCAATCGATTAACTGCAGCTCCTAAGCAATATCAAGGTCCACACTCTTTCCGAGAATATGACCTCAAAATCGAAGCCGTGTAATGCCGCCATACTTCGTAATATGGAAGCATACTATTGGCATCATTTAAAATTAGAAGATAATAGATGCAACTGAAGCTGGTGCAAGCAAACAAAAACGATTAGCGCCTTATAAGGAATACAGATGGTATTTAAGGCATGAATTGTGACGTCGAACGCTAGACGAGGGCAAACTGCTTTGCACACTGTGACATGCGCATTCCAGCGGTAATTCGCCACCACAAAAAACAGGAGAGATGATGGAGCCTGATACAGACATCACTGCCGGAAGGATTTAACAAGCTCATCAGCTACGATACGACTATTCTAAGATTTAAACTTCGAAATTATCCCGGTGAAAACACTGTCACGTTTTTCCTTATTGGGGGTGTAATTATCGCCCATAAATTTCCTATTCAACAGGAACAAGGACGAGATGTTACAGCCAAGTGTAGCGGGGCACCCTTTGTTTGGGGTGCCGCGAAACTTCACGTACATTAGAACGTGCAGAGGAAGCTAATCTACTTATCAACTAAGTTGATTAGAGGGTAAAAAGAGAACTGTATTCAATATAGTTAAGCTATCAATACAACTCTAATCTTTATCTAACTATGTTAAACTACGTCTTCGTATGACGACAACCTTCTCACCACTAATTGCGCGCGTCTAGCAGCGATTGGTGGCAACCTATGGTTGAATGTCTTTTATCAACCAATCTTGGAGCGGCGCATGAGCATTATCCAAAAGGGATAATATATCCCTTCAACATTATCCATCTCGGATAATATTGGCAGGGGATTGTCATGCTAGACACTGTTCTTAATGACACGGTTTGGTGTCAATTTCATGTAACGGGCTACCCCGTTATATCATCCCCCCTAACCATCAATCACCCGTTGATTGAACTAGAATTGATTGGGACAGGGTAATTACCGTTGGATCACTTTGGGAAAGGGAGCACTTGTTGGTCAAATTCCATTCATTTGCCAATACAACGCATGGTTTCGAAAACCAAGCGAGTTGCTACTTCAGCAGCAAGAAAGGCGGCTTCACGCATGCGTGTAGCCGGAGAGAGTACTTCTCACACCTCAGCAGCAGGTGATTCGTCGCCTGCTGCTGTGAACAGTCCACGTGGTGAGTCACTACGTGCGACAGGTACATCCGTTGCGTCTGCAGCGGGTACCACGAGTCGTAAACAAGACGAGTTTGAAATAGAGCTCATCTATTCCGGCGAGTCAGATGATGTATCCGACTCGAAGACGACACCTCACACTTCCGGATCACACGGGGCGGACACTGCAAGAGCCAGGTTGACTGGCTCTGGTCAACATGGCGGCATCATGCTCGAGATCTTCGTATCGAGCGATTGTTCCGATGAATCCTCGCCTCACGCGAGTCCATCCACCGATACAACGCGTGGGGAAGGTGGTGATGCACCTATACATCACCACGAGAGAAGCAACTCGAGGGATCGAGCTGTCACTAGTATCAGTGCTCATGCTGGCACCAATCAAGAGGCCAGGGACCGAAATGTCTTGCGCCACGCTCCCCACGTGGAGTCCGTGGATGCCGCCATCCAGAGAGTTGGACCGGTTGGCCGGCATGACTACCGAACGGGATCGAATCCCGTTGTTCGGTCGCAGGAAGATTTGTCCACCTAATTCCAGCACGGAAACTATCCGTGCTGAGGAAGAATTCTTCACCGATGCGTTCTTCAAACATCGGTGGTACAATGGTAGCCGTGTTCGAGACGGCAAAGCCTTGGTGCAAAGATGGAATGCCATCATCCATGACATCGAGTGTATTGGCCGTGAGGCCTGGCACGCCAAACTTGATGCAGCTCGCATCAGGTTTGAAAAACGCAACCCAGTCGTGGCGCGATACAAGTTGCATTGGCTTTCAATAGAGGCAGGATTACCCTGTCTCTCGTGCGGTGATTCGTGTCCAGGTTGCCTGGACAACTCGAACCGTGCCCCTATGGAGGCCTACCTCCCTAATGATCCCTACTGGAGGGCGCGCATCTCTTCTGAGATGGCCGAAAGGATTGACACTTTGCAATCCCTGTACTCGCGTTCGGGGAGGTCTTTTTTCCGACGGCCATTCTTAGAACGCAGCGGATGGGTCTCGTCGTACTGCTCGACGTGACCAAGGACATCAACAATCAGCTGGGCAAGAGGCTCCAGCTGTGCTACGCCGGTGGATAGCCACGCCAGCGGACGAGGTAACTCGTCCGGACGCCATTCACATCGCGGTTCACCAGAAATTGTTGACCACTGCCTGAGTCCACCAAAGGATGTGGTGGTGGTGGGAACACCTGATCCGGCTCGAGGGTCGGATCAGCTTGATGTTCAGGAACTGAACCGTGTAACGGAATAGTTACACGATGACTTGGCTCATGAATGGATTCGGCGTTATGTGATCCATGACCTTGTAAAGGATAATTACAATTCCTTAGCGCACGATCGTTCGAACGATCGTGCCGAGTTTGCGTTCGCGCGATTTGAGAACGAACGTTCGACTCGTTTTCTTCGTACGAGCTGTCTGTAGCTCGTCGAGACATCGCTGAACTGCGTGAACAGGTCGCTTCGCTAGTCGACCAGACTGGCTCGTTGTAACAGGACCACTCGAAGGTGGTCTCGGCTCTCGACCGCGGAGGTGTTCTTCGCATCTCGAAACGGGCTCGTACTGATAGTACGGGCGGAGACGTCCAATGTAAAACGTAGGATGCGTACGCATCCTACAAGGCAGTTCGATCGTGTAAGCGTTGCCCATGCGGCACAACACACGAAATGGACCGGTGTACTTGGGCAGTAATGAACTGCTGCCCATGTTTGTCACTGTGTTTTTTGTATATTTAATGCTGACAGTAAAAACTAAGTTTTCTTTATTAAATGAAAGAACATTTGCTCTTCCATGTTTGTCTACGTTTCTCTTCTGTCGGTCTAGTGCATCTGCAATAGAGTCTTGAACGAAGTGGACAACCGCTTCGCGAGTCAGCAGAAATTCCTCTGATGGCTCATCCTTGTCAACACCAGTGCGCTTCGTGTGCACTGCTGCAAGAACGTTGTCTTCACCAGTGAGGGCGTCATCGTCCTCACTGTGGCAGTCATTGGAGATGCTGAATATGACAGCATCGTCGCCATCGTCATCATCGATATCGATCCCAACGACATCGGCATCCATCACGTCGACACCATTGTCGACGGGTGATAAGCAAGAACCAGATCGGGTTCTGTTCGAGCGAGTCCACTCCCCCTTTAAACTAGCGTCACACTCTAAGAAGGCGAGTAAACGTGGATGGCGTAGGCCATTCACGAAGAACGGTGTATGCGTTGCCGACGCATGCACCGAGTTGTTGATGGTAAATCGCGCCGTCGGCTAGAACTCATTCCAACTCGTATACGGGTGGATATACCCTCGAAGTATCTCTTCGAGGATGCGGTTGACACGTTCCGTCTGACCATCTGTTTCTGGATGGTCAGAAGTTAACATCGTTAAACTTGTTCCAAGTGAATGGAACACGGATTGCCAGAACTCCGCTGTGAAGCGGGGGTCCCCATCGGACACGAGTTCATGGGGTAACCCGTGAAGTCGGAAGATAGTATCGATGAAGACACGAGCACATCCCTGGGCTGTGATCGACTCCGGTACAGCAACAAGATGTGCCATCTTGCTGAACCGATCCTCAAACACAAGAATAATAATATTCTTTTGAACGTCTTTAGGAAACCCAAAGACGAAGTCCATCGATACGGACTGCCAACACTCTGCCGGAATCGGAAGAGGCTGCAAGGGTGCGCGGGATGAAGGAATAGGCTTCACCCGTTGGCAACCTTTGCTAGTGCGAATGTATTTGCGCACAAACTCACACTGGCAAGGCCAGTAGAAGTCACGTATGACCGTGAGGTAAGTCTTTTTCTACCGCGATGCTCACTTGTTGGGGCAACGTGACAGTCATACATGATTTACAATCGCAAATCATGATGAGCAGAAACGACAACACGAGGTGTGTCGCCGTTGACTGCTGTATAGTACATCGGTCCATCAAGAACAGAATACCGTTCGGTTGAAGAGCGGTATTGATACGTCAAGCTTTTCAAAGCATGGCTACATGGAATAGAAACGTAATCCATCTATCAGAAAAGAGACTCATCTTCTGTGTATGCTTTTCGCACGTCGTCGAGCAGATTCGACGACGGAACACTCACTGTTAGTGTTGCTACAGTGGGACCACCCCTACTGTTGTGTTGAGCAGTCGTCTCGAAATCGGGCCGACGCGAAAGAGCATCAGCGACAACATGAAGCCGTCCTGGTTTATACTCAACGGAGAAGTTGTACCCCGCAAAGAAAGAAAGCCACCTCGCCATTCGTTGCGACAGGTGTGGACTGTTTACGGCCGTGCGTGACGACGCATGGTCGGTATAAACGATGAAAGGCCTATCTTCTAAGAGGTATACCCGAAACTCGGCCAGTAGATATTTCATGGCAAGGAGTCCATTGTCAGGCACCGGATAATTTTGCTCAGCTGCTTGCAGCTGACGCGATTGATAACAGACGACGCACTCAACGCCGTCTGAGTCTTACTGCATTAACGCACAGCCGATTGCAAAATCGCTGGCGTCACAGACCACATAGAATGGTCTGTTTTGGTCCGCAATCGCCAAGACAGGCGATTGTATCAAGCTTTTCTCGATGCCTTCAAAAGAGTGCTGACACTCAGCGCTCCATGACCATCTCTCGTTTTTCTTTAGTAGACGAGAGAGATGTGCGGTCATCTCGGCGTAGTTGCGCGAGTATTTGTGCAAGTACGCCGCCAATCCAAGGAACTTTTGAATTCCCTGAACGTCGACTGGCACAGGCCAGTTGATAATCGCCTTGATCTTTTCCGGATCAGGGCGTACACCGTTTTTACCCACGATGCAGCCAAGAAGTGGTATTTCGTTTGCTGCGAATATACACTTCTTGAGATTCACGAACAACTTATGCTCTCGCACTAGTGTAAGAACCTTCCGGACGTGGATTCTATGAACCTCCACGTCCGTCTTTCCATCCATAGCCCGGCTATGTACGAAGACTTTGTCGAAGTAACTCGGTGCGATATCGCGTACCAATCGCAACAGGTTCGTAACACATCTAATAAACGTTGCGGGGACGTTACTTAGCCCCTGTAGCATCACTAGCCACTCCCAGAGCATACCACTGGGGGGTGCTCACTGCTGTGTACGGGATGTCCCGTTCACGCATGAGGCTCTGATAGAATCCATCCATCAAATCCATGGACCAAAAGATGGTACTCTTTGCCATACCATCTATGATGACATCCTTTCTTGGGATCGGTGTTTGAGCCGGTACCGTTGCAGCGTTCAGTTTCTTGAACGCGTGCACTATCCGCCACCCTCCTGTTGCTTTTCGCACACAGAAGGTCGGAGAGCTGTGTGGGGATGTTGATTCCCTCACATGCCCAGCCGCTAAACGATCGGCAAGAATTTGTCGATCGCTGTTGCCTGTTCACGAGGCAGTGGCCACTGCTTCATGACACAGTATTTCGAACCGGGTTTCAGTTCGATCTCATGCCGAGTGCCATTATCCTTAGGCAACTCGCGTGTCACGGATTCCGGGAAAACATCCCTGAATTCAACCAATCCTTATACAAAGGATTTGTCTTCTAAGACTCCCAAAATTGAGACGTGTATCGCTCAATCCGGGTCTTCTCATCTAGGACACTCTCGTCCATCGATGAGCTACTGAGAACCCGTTCGCTCTCAGCAAACACTTGTGCCGACCAAATATCGGCGACGTGCTCGCCCTCTGTGACGAGTACGCGGATCTGCTTGATCTTGTCACTACGCAGATCTCGCAAGAATCTTTTAGATTCTAGCGTTGGCAACTTGACTACCTCCGAAGATGACTTCGGAGGTGTAACCAGATCAAGTGTATAAGCGCCTACACTTGATCCGTCATTCACCAAGACATTCACTGTCTCGATGATTTCCTGGGAAAACACATCCGCAGGTGGTCGGGGGATCCACACCATCAACATAACTCTCTCGGGAGTTATCCCTCTCAGGAACGCTGGAACCTTCTTCCAATACGTGTACTGACTGTGGTTGTACTACCACAATCACTTCCTCTTCGATCGACTCTCTGATAGTTGATCTCGCTTCACGTGTTTTTCACCTTGAACAACACTAATCTCTCTTCTTAAATACACCCTTCTTGGTGTGCATCCGTGTTCCAGTCCACTCGATCTCTTCGAGTGGTGAACCTTCGGCGCAGCCTGTGTCTCTTCGCAGGTGCCGGAAGCTGGTTCCACAGCGTAGTGGCCTTCTACACTGTGATCTTGTGCAGTCATACTAACGACCGTACCACAAGTGAGGCCATCACACTCACTCTTAGTACATCCACACGCTTGTGGACGATCCAAGACGTTCATCAGATGGCCATCTAATGAACAAACGGCAGGCATCTTCACGGATCGATGCTGCCAGCTGATCCATGACTGGTATTTTCTTGGCCATGGCAGACCGAGGATGACATCAAATTTTTCATCCAAATCTAGTACGATGAAGGTATCATCGTACTGCTTCCATTCTAGCGTGTAGTGGATTCCCACTACACGTTTGTTCACTGTTACGGATGCGCCTGTGGCAAGGCACACCGTCATCCTCGTTGGAGGGGACTCTCGCTCAACATAGTTGAGCCTACTATCCCCTAGCGACTGGCGTCGAAAAAAATGTTTGACGCCCCGCAGTCAACTAGGGCGCGAAGTGACATTCCACTTGTCACTTCGATCTTCAAAGTGATGAGGGACACCTCGTCACTAGGGGCAGTAACACACAGCGACTGTGTGTTGGGAGCAATCTTCGTCAATAGTCCTGCAAATTCTCTTGACGTTGCTGGATCAGAAGGATTGTCCGCCCTACTGACCCTGTCCGTTTTTTGACGGTCCGACTTGCTGTCGCGGCTTAGCGACATGGTCGGACCCTTGACTTGGACTTTTCCTTGGCCAACGATGGTCATCACGTTCTGTCTTTGGACGTGTTGCGGTGCTTGGGACACCACACTTATGAGCGTATTGTCCAATATTCTGACAGCGATGGCATCTTGCCGTTCGCTTGTGATTCAGAGAGCGAGAGTTCTCGCTCTCGGTGTAACAGAGTTCCATTGGTTCGGGACCTCCTGTTTCCTGTTGTCTTGTCGGAAGATAGTTTGACTTAGCCTGAGACTGTCTCAGGATGAATTCTTCTTGTTCCGCATACGCTATCGCCTTTTCCAGCGTATGGAAGTCCTCTTGGAACATGTAGGTCTTTACCGGCCCATCCACAAGGACATAGATGAACACGTTGATGAGCGTGTGCTCATCAACAGGGTTTTCCGTAAGGCTGCTCGCAAGGTAGCGTAGGTGCTGTGCATAAGCGTACACATCACGCTTACCTTGCTCTAGCGTCAAGAGTGCAGAGCATGCTCTGAACTCGGCTCTCGGTGGCTCAAATGTATTTGAGTCTCTTCAAGCCGAGACTTCAAGATCCCCAACGACTCAAACATGTTTGGGTCGTGAAGCTTGAGCCCTAAGGCCCAAGTCTTTGCTCGTCCCGTCAAATTTGACAGGGCGAAGGTGACTTGCATCTCGTCACCCTCGATGTGACGGGCCCTGATGGCGTCGTCTAACTCCACGAACCATCTCAAAAGGGAAACTTCATCGGTTCCCTTGTACTTTGAGATGTCAATCTTTAAGGTACAAGGGAAGACGCATGTGCGTCGGCCCGCCCATCGACTGATGAGAGCCTTGCTGCTGTAGCAAGACTATTTTCTGTCTTTCGACGGCAAGTTCCCCTTGTCGGAACTTGTTGATAGCAGCATGTAGCTGATCTCTGCTTAACGACTCCAACATACCACTTATGGCGGGTTCGCCCATGAGCACACTCATGCGGCCGACTACCTCCCATTCTAAGTCACTCAGATGGGAGTAGCCTTCACGTGTGACGTGAAAGCTGTCGTCTGCTACATCCAACATGTTCATCTTGGACGGACACAAAGTATCCGTTGGACGGACTACGAAGTGCTACCAGGTGTAACGGGGCACCCTTTGTTTGGGGTTCCGCGAAACTTCACGTACACTAGTACGTGCAGAGGAAGTTAATCTACTTATCAACTAAGTTGATTAGAGGGTAAAAAGAGAACTGTATTCAATATAGTTAAGCTATCAATACAACTCTAATCTTTATCTAACTATGTTAAACTACGTCTTCGTATGACGACAACCTGCTCACCACTAATTGCGCGCGTCTAGTAGCGATTGGTGGCAATCTATGGTTGAAATGTCTTTTATCAACCAATCTTGGTGCGGTGCATGAGTATTATCCAAAAGGGATAATATCCCTTCAATATTATCCATCTCGGATAATATTAGTTACAAATTTTGTCATGCTAGACAATCTCTTTATTAACACCGTCTGGTGTCAACATCATGTAACGGGCTACCCTGTTACAACACCAGTCATCGTCTTGTTCCAGCGCGGGAATGGGACGTCTGGTAGTTCAGAGATCAGGTTAAACTGGGACAGGTCAGTATGAGATCCTATCATGGAAAGAGCAGCGAAATGGTTGTTCCAAATTTGACCTTACCACGCGAAATAAACGCGGGCGTCGAGGTTGGAAGTATTTAGGCGCGTGCTGCCATCCAGTGATAGGGCAAATACCTATTGTATGTAACGGGGTTGCCTGTTACATGATGTTGACACCAGACGGTGTTAATAAAGAGATTGTCTAGCATGACAAACTTTGTAACTAATATTATCCGAGATGGATAATATTGAAGGGATATTATCCCTTTTGGATAATACTCATGCACCGCACCAAGATTGGTTGATAAAAGACATTTCAACCATAGATTGCCACCAATCGCTACTAGACGCGCGCAATTAGTGGTGAGCAGGTTGTCGTCATACGAAGACGTAGTTTAACATAGTTAGATAAAGATTAGAGTTGTATTGATAGCTTAACTATATTGAATACAGTTCTCTTTTTACCCTCTAATCAACTTAGTTGATAAGTAGATTAACTTCCTCTGCACGTACTAGTGTACGTGAAGTTTCGCGGAACCCCAAACAAAGGGTGCCCCGTTACACCTGGTAGCACTTCGTAGTCCGTCCAACGGCTACTTAGTGTCCGTCCAAGATGAACATGCTGGACGTAGAAGAAGACAGCTTTCACGTCACACGTGAATGATACTCCCATCTGAGTGACTTAGAATGGGAGGTAGTCGGCCGCATGAGTGTGCTCATGGCCGAACTCACCATAAGTGGTATGTTGGAGTCGTTAAGCAGAGACCAGCTACATGCTGCTATCAACAAGTTACCACAAGGGAAACTTGTCGTCGAACGACAGAAGATAGCCTTGCTACAGCATCAAGACTCCCATCAGTCGATGGGCGGGCCGACGCACATGCGTCGACCCAAAACCTTGAAGATTGATATCTCAAGGTACCAGGGAACCAATGAAGATTACCTTTTAAGATGAATCGTCGAGTTAGACGACGCCATCAGGGCCCGTCACATCGAGGGTGACGAGATGCAAGTCACCTTCGCCCTGTCAAATTTGACGGGACGAGCAAAGACTTGGGCCTTAGGGCTCAAGCTTCACGACCCAAACATGTTTGAGTCGTTGGGGATCTTGAAGTCTCGGCTTGAAGAGACATTTGAGCCACCGAGAGCCGAGTTCAGAGCATGCTCTGCACTCTTGACGCTAGAGCAAGGTAAGCGTGACGTGTACGCTTATGCACAGCACCTACGCTACTTTGCGAGCAGCCTTACGGAAAACCCTGTTGATGAGCACACGCTCATCTACGTGTTCATCTATGTCCTTGTGGATGGGCCGGTAAAGACCTACATGTTCCAAGAGGACTTCCATACGCTGGAAAAGGCGATAGCGTATGCGGAACAAGAAGAATTCATCCTGAGACAGTCTCAGGCTAAGTCAAACTATCTTCCGACAAGACAACAGGAAACAGGAGGTCCCGAACCAATGGAACTCTGTTACACCGAGAGCGAGAACTCTCGCTCTCTGAATCACAAGCGAACGGCAAGATTCCATCGCTGTCAGAATATTGGACAATACGCTCATAAGTGTGGTGTCCCAAGCACCGCAACACGTCCAAAGACAGGACGTGATGACCATCGTTGGCCAAGGAAAAGTCCAAGTCAAGGGTCCGACCATGTCGCTAAGCCGCGACAGCAAGTCGGACCGTCAAAAAAACGGACAGGGTCAGTAGGGCGGACAATCCTTCTGATCCAGCAACGTCAAGAGAATTTGCAGGACTATTGACGAAGATTGCTCCCAACACACAGTCGCTGTGTGTTACTGCCCCTAGTGACGAGGTGTCCCTCATCACTTTGAAGATCGAAGTGACAAGTGGAATGTCACTTCGCGCCCTAGTTGACTGCGGGGCGTCAAACATTTTTTCGACGCCAGTCGCTAGGGGATAGTAGGCTCAACTATGTTGAGCGAGAGTCCCCTCCAACGAGGATGACGGTGTGCCTTGCCACAGGCGCATCCGTAACAGTGAACAAACGTGTAGTGGGAATCCACTACACGCTAGAATGGAAGCAGTACGATGATACCTTCATCGTACTAGATTTGGATGAAAAATTTGATGTCATCCTCGGTCTGCCATGGCCAAGAAAATACCAGTCATGGATCAGCTGGCAGCATCGATCCGTGAAGATGCTCTGCCGTTTGTTCATTAGATGGCCATCTGATGAACGTCTTGGATCGTCCACAAGCGTGTGGATGTACTAAGAGTGAGTGTGATGGCCTCACTTGTGGTACGGTCGTTAGTATGACTGCACAAGATCACAGTGTAGAAGGCCACTACGCTGTGGAACCAGCTTCCGGCACCTGCGAAGAGACACAGGCTGCGCCGAAGGTTCACCACTCGAAGAGATCGAGTGGACTGGAACACGGATGCACACCAAGAAGGGTGTATTTAAGAAGAGAGATTAGTGTTGTTCAAGGTGAAAAACACGTGAAGCGAGATCAACTATCAGAGAGTCGATCGAAGAGGAAGTGATTGTGGTAGTACAACCACAGTCAGTACACGTATTGGAAGAAGGTTCCAGCGTTCCTGAGAGGGATAACTCCCGAGAGAGTTATGTTGATGGTGTGGATCCCCGACCACCTGCGGATGTGTTTTCCCAGGAAATCATCGAGACAGTGAATGTCTTGGTGAATGACGGATCAAGTGTAGGCGCTTATACACTTGATCTGGTTACACCTCCGAAGTCATCTTCGGAGGTAGTCAAGTTGCCAACGCTAGAATCTAAAAGATTCTTGCGAGATCTGCGTAGTGACAAGATCAAGCAGATCCGCGTACTCGTCACAGAGGGCGAGCACGTCGCCGATATTTGGTCGGCACAAGTGTTTGCTGAGAGCGAACGGGTTCTCAGTAGCTCATCGATGGACGAGAGTGTCCTAGATGAGAAGACCCGGATTGAGCGATACACGTCTCAATTTTGGGAGTCTTAGAAGACAAATCCTTTGTATAAGGATTGGTTGAATTCAGGGATGTTTTCCCGGAATCCGTGACACGCGAGTTGCCTAAGGATAATGGCACTCGGCATGAGATCGAACTGAAACCCGGTTCGAAATACTGTGTCATGAAGCAGTGGCCACTGCCTCGTGAACAGGCAACAGCGATCGACAAATTCTTGCCGATCGTTTAGCGGCTGGGCATGTGAGGGAATCAACATCCCCACACAGCTCTCCGACCTTCTGTGTGCGAAAAGCAACAGGAGGGTGGCGGATAGTGCACGCGTTCAAGAAACTGAACGCTGCAACGGTACCGGCTCAAACACCGATCCCAAGAAAGGATGTCATCATAGATGGTATGGCAAAGAGTACCATCTTTTGGTCCATGGATTTGATGGATGGATTCTATCAGAGCCTCATGCGTGAACGGGACATCCCGTACACAGCAGTGAGCACCCCCAGTGGTATGCTCTGGGAGTGGCTAGTGATGCTACAGGGGCTAAGTAACGTCCCCGCAACGTTTATTAGATGTGTTACGAACCTGTTGCGATTGGTACGCGATATCGCACCGAGTTACTTCGACAAAGTCTTCGTACATAGCCGGGCTATGGATGGAAAGACGGACGTGGAGGTTCATAGAATCCACGTCCGGAAGGTTCTTACACTAGTGCGAGAGCATAAGTTGTTCGTGAATCTCAAGAAGTGTATATTCGCAGCAAACGAAATACCACTTCTTGGCTGCATCGTGGGTAAAAACGGTGTACGCCCTGATCCGGAAAAGATCAAGGCGATTATCAACTGGCCTGTGCCAGTCGACGTTCAGGGAATTCAAAAGTTCCTTGGATTGGCGGCGTACTTGCACAAATACTCGCGCAACTACGCCGAGATGACCGCACATCTCTCTCGTCTACTAAAGAAAAACGAGAGATGGTCATGGAGCGCTGAGTGTCAGCACTCTTTTGAAGGCATCGAGAAAAGCTTGATACAATCGCCTGTCTTGGCGATTGCGGACCAAAACAGACCATTCTATGTGGTCTGTGACGCCAGCGATTTTGCAATCGGCTGCGCGTTAATGCAGTAAGACTCAGACGGCGTTGAGTGCGTCGTCTGTTATCAATCGCGTCAGCTGCAAGCAGCTGAGCAAAATTATCCGGTGCCTGACAATGGACTCCTTGCCATGAAATATCTACTGGCCGAGTTTCGGGTATACCTCTTAGAAGATAGGCCTTTCATCGTTTATACCGACCATGCGTCGTCACGCACGGCCGTAAACAGTCCACACCTGTCGCAACGAATGGCGAGGTGGCTTTCTTTCTTTGCGGGGTACAACTTCTCCGTTGAGTATAAACCAGGACGGCTTCATGTTGTCGCTGATGCTCTTTCGCGTCGGCCCGATTTCGAGACGACTGCTCAACACAACAGTAGGGGTGGTCCCACTGTAGCAACACTAACAGTGAGTGTTCCGTCGTCGAATCTGCTCGACGACGTGCGAAAAAGCATACACAGAAGATGAGTCTCTTTTCTGATAGATGGATTACGTTTCTATTCCATGTAGCCATGCTTTGAAAAGCTTGACGTATCAATACCGCTCTTCAACCGAACGGTATTCTGTTCTTGATGGACCGATGTACTATACAGCAGTCAACGGCGACACACCTCGTGTTGTCGTTTCTGCTCATCATGATTTGCGATTGTAAATCATGTATGACTGTCACGTTGCCCCAACAAGTGAGCATCGCGGTAGAAAAAAGACTTACCTCACGGTCATACGTGACTTCTACTGGCCTTGCCAGTGTGAGTTTGTGCGCAAATACATTCGCACTAGCAAAGGTTGCCAACGGGTGAAGCCTATTCCTTCATCCCGCGCACCCTTGCAGCCTCTTCCGATTCCGGCAGAGTGTTGGCAGTCCGTATCGATGGACTTCGTCTTTGGGTTTCCTAAAGACGTTCAAAAGAATATTATTATTCTTGTGTTTGAGGATCGGTTCAGCAAGATGGCACATCTTGTTGCTGTACCGGAGTCGATCACAGCCCAGGGATGTGCTCGTGTCTTCATCGATACTATCTTCCGACTTCACGGGTTACCCCATGAACTCGTGTCCGATGGGGACCCCCGCTTCACAGCGGAGTTCTGGCAATCCGTGTTCCATTCACTTGGAACAAGTTTAACGATGTTAACTTCTGACCATCCAGAAACAGATGGTCAGACGGAACGTGTCAACCGCATCCTCGAAGAGATACTTCGAGGGTATATCCACCCGTATACGAGTTGGAATGAGTTCTAGCCGACGGCGCGATTTACCATCAACAACTCGGTGCATGCGTCGGCAACGCATACACCGTTCTTCGTGAATGGCCTACGCCATCCACGTTTACTCGCCTTCTTAGAGTGTGACGCTAGTTTAAAGGGGGAGTGGACTCGCTCGAACAGAACCCGATCTGGTTCTTGCTTATCACCCGTCGACAATGGTGTCGACGTGATGGATGCCGATGTCGTTGGGATCGATATCGATGATGACGATGGCGACGATGCTGTCATATTCAGCATCTCCAATGACTGCCACAGTGAGGACGATGACGCCCTCACTGGTGAAGACAACGTTCTTGCAGCAGTGCACACGAAGCGCACTGGTGTTGACAAGGATGAGCCATCAGAGGAATTTCTGCTGACTCGCGAAGCGGTTGTCCACTTCGTTCAAGACTCTATTGCAGATGCACTAGACCGACAGAAGAGAAACGTAGACAAACATGGAAGAGCAAATGTTCTTTCATTTAATAAAGAAAACTTAGTTTTTACTGTCAGCATTAAATATACAAAAAACACAGTGACAAACATGGGCAGCAGTTCATTACTGCCCAAGTACACCGGTCCATTTCGTGTGTTGTGCCGCATGGGCAACGCTTACACGATCGAACTGCCTTGTAGGATGCGTACGCATCCTACGTTTTACATTGGACGTCTCCGCCCGTACTATCAGTACGAGCCCGTTTCGAGATGCGAAGAACACCTCCGCGGTCGAGAGCCGAGACCACCTTCGAGTGGTCCTGTTACAACGAGCCAGTCTGGTCGACTAGCGAAGCGACCTGTTCACGCAGTTCAGCGATGTCTCGACGAGCTACAGACAGCTCGTACGAAGAAAACGAGTCGAACGTTCGTTCTCAAATCGCGCGAACGCAAACTCGGCACGATCGTTCGAACGATCGTGCGCTAAGGAATTGTAATTATCCTTTACAAGGTCATGGATCACATAACGCCGAATCCATTCATGAGCCAAGTCATCGTGTAACTATTCCGTTACACGGTTCAGTTCCTGAACATCAAGCTGATCCGACCCTCGAGCCGGATCAGGTGTTCCCACCACCACCACATCCTTTGGTGGACTCAGGCAGTGGTCAACAATTTCTGGTGGGGCGTATTTTGAACCACCGCGATGTGAATGGCGTCCGGACGAGTTACCTCGTCCGCTGGCGTGGCTATCCACCGGCGTAGCACAGCTGGAGCCTCTTGCCCAGCTGATTGTTGATGTCCTTGGTCACGTCGAGCAGTACGACGAGACCCATCCGCTGCGTTCTAAGAATGGCCGTCGGAAAAAGACCTCCCCGAACGCGAGTACAGGGATTGCAAAGTGTCAATCCTTTCGGCCATCTCAGAAGAGATGCGCGCCCTCCAGTAGGGATCATTAGGGAGGTAGGCCTCCATAGGGGCACGGTTCGAGTTGTCCAGGCAACCTGGACACGAATCACCGCACGAGAGACAGGGTAATCCTGCCTCTATTGAAAGCCAATGCAACTTGTATCGCGCCACGACTGGGTTGCGTTTTTCAAACCTGATGCGAGCTGCATCAAGTTTGGCGTGCCAGGCCTCACGGCCAATACACTCGATGTCATGGATGATGGCATTCCATCTTTGCACCAAGGCTTTGCCGTCTCGAACACGGCTACCATTGTACCACCGATGTTTGAAGAACGCATCGGTGAAGAATTCTTCCTCAGCACGGATAGTTTCCGTGCTGGAATTAGGTGGGCAAATCTTCCTGCGATCGAACAACGGGATTCGATCCCGTTCGGTAGTCATGCCGGCCAACCGGTCCAACTCTCTGGATGGCGGCATCCACGGACTCCACGTGGGGAGCGTGGCGCAAGACATTTCGGTCCCTGGCCTCTTGATTGGTGCCAGCATGAGCACTGATAATAGTGACAGCTTGATCCCTCGAGTTGCTTCTCTCGTGGTGATGTATAGGTGCATCACCACCTTCCCCACGCGTTGTATCGGTGGATGGACTCGCGTGAGGCGAGGATTCATCGGAACAATCGCTCGATACGAAGATCTCGAGCATGATGCCGCCATGTTGACCAGAGCCAGTCAACCTGGCTCTTGCAGTGTCCGCCTCGTGTGATCCGGAAGTGTGAGGTGTCGTCTTCGAGTCGGATACATCATCTGACTCGCCGGAATAGATGAGCTCTACTTCAAACTCGTCTTGTTTACGACTCGTGGTACCCGCTGCAGACGCAACGGATGTACCTGTCGCACGTAGTGACTCACCACGTGGACTGTTCACAGCAGCAGGCGACGAATCACCTGCTGCTGAGGTGTGAGAAGTACTCTCTCCGGCTACACGCATGCGTGAAGCCGCCTTTCTTGCTGCTGAAGTAGCAACTCGCTTGGTTTTCGAAACCATGCGTTGTATTGGCAAATGAATGGAATTTGACCAACAAGTGCTCCCTTTCCCAAAGTAATCCAACGGTAATTACCCTGTCCCAATTAATTCTAGTTCAATCAACGGGTGATTGATGGTTAGGGGGGATGATATAACGGGGTAGCCCGTTACATGAAATTGACACCAAACAGTGTCATTAAGAACAGTGTCTAGCATGACAATCCCCTGCCAATATTATCCGAGATGGATAATTTTGAAGGGATATTATCCCTTTTGGATAATACTCATGCGCCGCACCAAGAATGGTTGATAAAAGACATTCAACCATAGGTTGCCACCAATCGCTGCTAGACGCGCGCAATTAGTGGTGAGAAGGTTGTCGTCATACGAAGACGTAGTTTAACATAGTTAGATAAAGATTAGAGTTGTATTGATAGCTTAACTATATTGAATACAGTTCTCTTTTTACCCTCTAATCAACTTAGTTGATAAGTAGATTAGCTTCCTCTGCACGTACTAGTGTACGTGAAGTTTCGCGGCACCCCAAACAAAGGGTGCCCCGTTACATTGTAGGCGAAGTACGCTGGCAAGAATCTGGAAGCTGAGAGTTCACTGTAGACGCGCAAGGGTGGCCACTTGAATTCATTTACGCTGCCAAGTTTTGCACGGCTCGTCTCCCCCCTTGGCTGCCTGTGCAGCTACCTCGGTCTACTTGAAGGTCATGCCAATAGCGATGAACTTAACACTCAGGCGGAAGAGCTCGGAACTCGAAACTGTCACAACATAAATACCATTGTCACTGTTCCAGTTGAAGACTCGCTTTGCATTTTCGAAATTGATGCCTTCAATGTCATTCGTGTTCGACTACATATCACCAATGATAACGTCGACAATATTAGCCTCCAGCTTATACTTAGTAGTCGACGAGACGGGGTTCAAGTAGGCCACAGTCTGATTAGCGAATGGCACTACTACATTGAAGTGGGCCTCTTTTTGGCAAGCTTTTAGGTTCTGGTACGCTGTCCACTCCTTTTGGTGCTCACGCTGCAGATGTATCGGGTAATTCTCAGACCTAAACGGCGGCTACAATTTCTTGACAATTTCTTTTTCTGACGCTTCTGGCCTGAAACCTCTTCACGACCGAACGTGATGCAAATTCTGCACAATGTGGATGTGACAAAATGTGACCAAGGGTCGACCGCATCGACTTGCAGTTCATACTTCACATCGTGCTTTGTTTGGAATGGTGTTGAGCATGATTTAGTTGACTTTCCGCGCTTCTTGCTCTCCAGATTAAAACACTCCTTAGACACGAGACTCGGTTCAATTCGGTCCATTTGTCGGCGAGCTTGCAGAGGCACAAGCTGACAGACTGGAGTCTAGGGGTAAAGTAGTGACCATTTGTAGTTTGTGGAGCAGGTGGGGAGAGGTGGGATGGACATGAGTGTAACAGGGCACCCTGAAGCTTGTACTGGTGACAGTACAAGCTACTTATTCTGATGACAGAATAAGGCGGTGCCTCGTAACTTCACGTACACTCGTACGTGCAGAGGAAGACGGTAAGAAGAAGCGAGTACTTGGTTAAAGTAAAAAGTAGAACTGTATTTATAATAGTTAATGTCTGCAATAAATCACTATTTATCTTCATCTAACTATGTCTAAATACAAATGTGTAAATCAGTTATCTGCTCACCACTCATTGCGTGCGTCTGTCGTGGCGCGTCTTCGTTGGTTGATATAATGGCCTATATCAACCAATTAGGAACTACTTGTAAGTGCTACAGAATATTTGTCCTTATGACAATATTCTGAGAATATAACTCTTATAGTTATATTCTATTAACAATTTCTTATAAATTGTTATGTAACGATTCACCCCGTTACATCACCCCCCTTAACCATCAGTCACTTTAGTGACTGATTGACTAAATGGATACTCGTCCCAAATCATTTGGGACAGGGTTTGCACTTGTTGGTCCGCGTCCACTTTCCAACATTTCATCGCATGGTAAACAAGCCCATGCGATTCGCGAGCAAGGCCGCCGAGAGCGCGTCTGCACGTCTCTGTGCGGACGCCGAAGCAGAAACAACAGCAACTGATGTCTCATCGGTTGCTGAAGCGACCCAGCCTGTGTCACTTGGTGATGCAGGCGCTGGTCATGAAGACACTCGTGTCTTCACAGAGTACGAGCTCGGTGTCTCGTACTCTCCTGATACGGATGACGGATCCGTATCGACGGCGATCGAATCCAAGCCGCCTGCCAAGCGTGGCATGGACGATGCTTTGCGTCGCAGCATCTTTGGTTCATCTGATGAATCAGATGAACCATCGCCGAAGCGAAGGCGCTCGAGGTCGCGAGACTCGGGCGCTAATAGTGGTGTCGGTTCTCCTATGGACACCACTTCACAGCGAGGTGCCAGTACTTCTGTCGGCACGTCGCAGGAAGAGCGGGACCGCAATGTCTTGCGTCTCGCTCCTGAGAAGAAGGCATGGATGCCTCCAAAATCCATCATGGATCACTTGTCGGCGACGACGAGTGATCGTTATCGAACACGATTGTTCGATTCGTCAAGGATCCATCACCTTGACCCCAGCGCGAAAAACTATCGCGCTGAACATGATTTCTTCATCGATGCTTTCTTTTAACATCGATGGTACAGTGGGAATCACAAACGTGATGGTCCCTCACTACTTCAGGCGTGGAACGCCTACATCCATAACCTCGAGGATGTAGGTCGTGACGCTTGGAACGACAAACTTATCAAAGCTCGTGATAAGTTTGAAAAGCGAACCCCGACAGGTGCACGCTACAAGCTGCATCGTCTGTCAAGGGAGAAAGGATTACCCTGCCTCTCTTGGGGAGACTCGTGCCCATGTTGTGTGAACAACTCTGCACGAGCACCTAAGGAGGCTTACCTCCTTACCAGCCCGTGGTGGCGCGTACGTATCTCTACTGAGATGTACGAAGGGATTGACAACCTGAAATCCCTTTACGACCGTGCCGGGAAGACTTTCTCCGGCGGTCCTTCTGCGGCACAGGATGTGCCGCGTCGTACTGCTCGACCAGACCCAGTACGTCAATCATCAGTTGGGAGCGGGGCTCCCAAGAATCCCAGGACGGGGGATAGCTGCGCCACCGGACGAGATAACTCGTCCGACGTCCGTTCACGTCGCGGGGGTTCAACAGCTGCTCAACTAGATAGCGCTGGCCACCGCGAGAGTCCTCTAATGGAGGTGGAGGAGGAGGAAAGACGCTCTCCACACGATCATGTGGATCGGTGTGTTCCCGAGAGCTTCTTTGATCGCGTAACGCAAGGGTACGCGGCGATCTCGAACATGAGCGGAATAGGCGTCTCCAAATGGCGGACACTGCCTCGAAGCATCAAGCTGAGTTTGCCTTTTGCTCAGCTTGAGAACGAGAGATCTCTGACATCTCTTCGTGACGAGCTAAGGGTAGCTCGTGGGATTGCTGATCGGTCTCGGGATGAGATAGCTGCTCTTCAGACCCTTGTTGATGCCCACCATCGGGAGCACAAGGCTCTCTGCGAGATGCTTGAGCGCAAGGGCGTTCTTCATCGGAAGAAGCAGCGTACTGATGGTACGGCTTAAGCCGACCAACGTAAAACGTGGGATGCGTTCGCATCTTACGTGGTAGCTCGATCGTGTATGCATTGCCTAGGCGGTGCAATACACGAAATGGGCCAATGTACTTGGGTAGTAGTTTACTGCTACCCAAGTTATTCACTACATTGGTTTGGTAGATTAACCGTAGACAGTAGGACTAAGTCACCTTTATTAAATAAAAGAGTGTTTGCCCTTCCATTCTTGTCAGCGTTTTGCTTTTGCTTATCCACCGCTTCGGCGATGGAGTCTTGCACAAAACGGACTACCGTTTCACGAGCCAGTATGAACTCATCTGATGACTCGTTAGCTTCAGTGTGCTGTGAGCGCACTGCAGCAACATCAAGCATTTCTTCAGTGAGGGCTTCCTCGCTCTCACTGTCATCATCATCTTCGATATCGATGTTGTCGATATCGGCGTCAAACGCAATGACCTCTTTGTCAGAGCGTGATGAGCGTGAACCAAATCGGTTTTTGCTCGCGCGAGTCCCTCCCCCCCTTAAACCAGAGTTCCACTCTAGTAAGGTGGGTACACGCGGATGGCGCAAGCCATTCACGTAAAACGGTGTATGTGTCGTGGACGCATGCACCGAGTTGTTGATGGCAAACTCTACCATTGGCAAAAACTCACTCCAACTCTTAAAGGAGTGTACGTATCCTCGAAGTATCTCTTCAAGGACACGATTGGCACGTTCCGTCTGACCATCTGACTCTGGATGATCAGATGTCGACATCTTCAAGCGCGTTCCGAGTGATTTGAACACGGAACGCCAGAAATCAGCAGTGAATCGTGGATCTCTGTCTGATACGAGTTCACGGGGCAACCCATGAAGTCGGAAGATGGTGTCAATAAAGATACAAGCACAGCCACTTGCTGTGATTGACTCTGGTACAGCCACTAGGTGTACCATTTTGCTGAATCTGTCAACAAATACGAGAATACCCGTATTCCCGCGTGCGTCTTTGGGTAACCCGAAGACGAAATCCATTGAGATGGATTCCCAGCACTCAGCCGGAACCGGTAGAGGCTGTAAAGGTGCACGTAGTGAAGGACTTGACTTCACTCGTTGACAGACTTCGCATGCGCGAATGTACTTTCGCACAAACTGATACTGGCGGGGCCAGTAAAAGTCTCGACTCACCGTGAGATATGTTTTCTCACGGCCACGATGTCCTCCTATAGGAGCATCGTGATACTCGAACATGATCCGCAAACGCAGATCAGTATCATCTGGAATGACAACACGTGGTGTGTCACCAGAAACGGCTGTATAATACAGCAACCTGTTACGAGTAGTGTATCGATCTGATGCAGATCGATACGCAGACGACAATCGTTTCAACGATTCTCGAGATGGTTGGGAGAGATGTGTCAACAACTTCACAATCTCACCATCTTGGGCGTATGCCCGCCTCACATCATCGTACAACGTTGTAGATGGGACTGAGGACGTCATAACCGCAACAGTGACTGCCTCACTGTTGGGTTTCGCGACTGTTTCAAAGTCGGGAAGACGTGAGAGTGCATCAGCGACGACGTTAAGTCGTCCTGGCTTGTACTCAACCGTAGAGTTGTATTCTGCAAAGAATGACAACCACCGCGCCATTCGTTGTGAAAGGTGCGGGCTGTTTACTGCCGTGCGTAATGACGCATGGTCAGTGTAAACAATGAAGGGTCTATCTCCTAATAGATAGAATCTGAGCTTCGCGAGTGCATACTCCATGGCAAGGAGTTCCTTGTCATACAATGGATATTTCCGCTCAGCTGGTTGCTGCTGACGCGACTGATAGCAGACGACGCGTTCAACACCTTCAAGATCGTACTGCATTAATGCACAGCCGATTGCGAAATCGCTGGCATCACAGACCACATGAAATGGCCTGTCCTGATCGGCTATTGCTAGGACTGGGGATTGTATCAAGCTCTGCTTGATACCATCAAAGGAGCGCTGACATTCAGCGTTCCATAAACGCCTCTCGTTCTTTTTCAACAAACGAGAGAGATGCACAGTCATCTCGGCGTCATTGCGTGAATACTTGTGCAAATACGCCGCTAGCCCATGGAATTTTTGAAGACCTTTGACATCAACTGGCACAGGCCAGTCGGTGATCGCCTTGATCTTTTCGGGATCAGGACGTACATCGTTCTTACCAACGGTGCACCCAAGAAGTGGTATTTCGCTTGCGGCAAATATACACTTCTTGAGGTTTGCATACAATTGATGCTTTCGCAAGATTGTAAGAACCTGTCGGACGTGGTACCTGTGAACCTCAACGTCCGACTTTCCATCCATAGCTCGACTATGGATGAATACGTCATCGAAATAACTCGGCGCGAATTCTCGTACTGGTCTCAACAGATGTGATACACATCTGTTGAACGTGGCAGGGGCATTACTGAGCCCTTGTGGCATAACTAGCCATTCCCAGAGCATGCCGCTAGGCGTGCTAACTGCGGTATAGGGTATATCCCGTTCCCGCATGAGGCTCTGATAGAATCCATCCATCAAATCCATGGACGAAAAGATGGTACTCTTTGACATACCATCAATGATTACGTCCTTCCTCGGTATCGGCGTCTGAGCCGGTACCGTTGCAGCGTTCAATTTGTTGAACGCGTGCACTATCCGCCACCCTCCTGTTGCTTTTCGCACACAGAAGGTCGGAGAGCTATGTGGGGAAGTTGATTCCCTCACATGGCCCGCAGCTAAACGATCGGCAAAGAACTTGTCGATCGCAAGTACTTGTTCACGAGGCAGTGGCCACTGCTTCATGACACAGTACTTCGAGCCTGGTTTAAGCTCGACCTCGTGTCGAATACCTTTATCCTTCGGTAATTCGCACGGAACAGTTTCAGGGAATACATCCTTGAATTCAACCAAATCTTCATAGAGAGGATTTGTCTTGAGCGATTCCCATGATTGGGAGTCATATCGCTCAATTCGTGTCTTTTCATCTAGGACACTCTCGTCCATAGATGAACTACTGAGAACTCTCTCGTTCTCCGTAAACACTGTTGCTGACCTTATGTCGGTTACACACTCGTCGTCAGCGACGAGTATGCAGATCTGCTTGACTTTGCCACTACGCAGATCACGCAAGAACCTTTTATGTTCGAGCGTTGGCAACTGAGTGATCTCCGAAGTTAACTTCGGAGGCGCAATCAGATCAAGTGTATAAGCGCCTACACTTGATCCGTTATTGACTATGACATTCAATGTCTCTGTCATTTCCTGGGGACTTATTCCCTCAGGCTTCGAAGGATTTATTCCTTCGTCTTCCCGGGGATTTATTCCCGCGGGTTTCGGGGAACTTATTTCCGCCGTATTTGTAATCTTGGGACTTATTCCCTTTACTTCCTCTAGCTGGGGTTGCGCAACCACAGCGAGATCCTCTACGAAAGACTCTCCAGTCGATCTAGGATTATCGTTTCGCTTAACCTGAGCGATCGATTGTTTCTCTTCTAGATGTTCCCCGCTAGGGATACATCTTTGTCCCAGTCCACCCGACTTATTCGAGTGGTGGACCTTCGGCGCAGCCTGTGTTTCCTCACAGCCGCCGGAACTTTGCTCCGAAGTGTAACCGTTTGTTGCACTAAGGTTTTGTGCAGTCGTACTAACGACCGTACCACAAGTGAGGCCATCGCACTCACTCGTAGTACATCCACACGCTTGTGGACGCTCCAAAACGTTCATCAGATGGCCATCTGATGAACAAGCGGCAGGCATCGTTACTGTCCGATGTTGCCAGTTTACCCGTGGTTCGTACCTTCTGAGCCACGGTATTCCAAGGATGACATCAAATTTGTCATCCAAATCCAATACGATAAAGTCATCGTCATATTGGGTATCTTCTAGCGTATAGTGGATCTTCACTATACGCTTCATGACGGTTACGGATGCGCCTGTCGCAAGACGTACCGTCATCCTCGTAGGAGGTGTGTCACATTCACTGAATTTAAAGTGACCATCTTCTAGCGATTGGCGTTGCACAAAATTGTTGGACGCCCCACAATCGACTAGAGCTCGAAGGGACAACTTATTCGTCACTTCGAGTTTCAAGGTAATGAGTGAGACCTCATTACCTAGAGCAGCAACGCACAACGTTTGTGTGTTGGGAGCAACTTTCATCAAGAGGCCTACAAATTCTCTTGACGTTGCTAGACCAGTAGGGTGCTCCGCACCTACTGATCCTGTCCGTTTTTTGACGGTCCATCCCGTTGTTGCGTCTTTGCACCAACTGCGGACCCTCGTCCCTTCCCCTTTCTCATGGGTGGACGGTCACTACGCCCAGTGTCGCGAGACACTGGACGAGGGGCACTACACTCGTAAGCGTAGTGTCCTGTCTTTTGACATCTGTTGCATCTCTGCAACTTCTTGTAGCCTGTAGAGCGAGCCTTCTCGCTCTCTATATAACAGAGTTCCATCGGCTCTGGACCTCCGTTGTCATATCGTCTCGGTTGACGATATGATGTCGAGCTGGCGCGAGCCTGTCTCAGACTGAAGTCTTCCTGCTCCGCAATGGAAATGGCTTGTTCTAGTGAATCTAGTTCAAGCCGGAACAGGTGAGTCTTGACGGGACCATCCAACAAGACCCTGCATGAACACCGAAACCAACGTGTGTTCATCAACCGGGTTGGAACTTATACAACTCGTGAGATGTCGTATATGTTGAGCGTAAGCGTGCACATCACGCTTACCCTGTTTGAGCTTCAAGAGTTCGGTTCGAGCCCTGAACTCAGCTCTAGGCGGTTCAAACGTTTGTCTGAGCCGCGACTTGAAGACTTCCAACGACCCAAACGCATATGGGTCGTGCAACTTGAGCCCCAGTGCCCAAGTCTTGGCACGTCCTGCCAGATTTGACTGGGCAAATGCAACTTGCATATCCCCGTCGTCGATGCGACGCGCCCTTATGGCGTCATCCAATTCGACGAACCATCTCAAGAGGGAGTCTTCTTCGACCCCCCTATACTTGGAGATGTCAATCTTCAAAGTCTCGGGTCGACGCGAGTGCATACACCCACCAGCAGCAGCCTACAAGCTTCAGGGTGCCCTGTTACACCTGGTAGCACTTCGTAGTCCGTCCAAGGACCGCGTTCACATCCAACATGAATATGTTGGATGATGAAGATGACCAAAGCTTTCACGCTACGCGTGACGGCTACTCCCATTTGAGCGATGTCGAATGGGATGCGGTTGAACGAATGGGTTCGACCATGGGACACTCGTACGTGCAGAGGAAGACGGTAAGAAGAAGCGAGTACTTGGTTAAAGTAAAAAGTAGAACTGTATTTATAATAGTTAATGTCTGCAATAAATCACTATTTATCCTCATCTAACTATGTCTGAATACAAATGTGTAAATCAGTTATCTGCTCACCACTCATTGCGTGCGTCTGTCGTGGCGCGTCTTCGTTGGTTGATATAATGGCCTATATCAACCAATTAGGAACTACTCGTAAGTGCTACAGAATATTTGTCCTTATGACAATATTCTGAGAATATAACTCTTATAGTTATATTCTATTAACAATTTCTTATAAATTGTTATGTAACGATTCACCCCGTTACAATGGGGGGTTGCTGGAGCCAAGAAAAAGATTTAGGAATCAGAGGGTGTGTGGGCGAGTTGCAGCAAATACCAGGAACTTGCACCGGCACAATCTACTAAAGCAGCCAGGTTTTTACGGTTGAAATCCATTAAACCCCTTGACCGGCAAGTTTATCTTCCCCTCGATTGTTTGCTTTGGTCTAGCATTGACTTGAGAAATGAACGATTGGAAAGGTGCATGCCACAGAAACTTGATACTTTCAGATCAGGCACTTGCTGGGCTTTAGATTAGGCGAATTAGGCATAATTTCACAAAATGCCTAATCTACAAAGGGCTGACGATGACGCATCGGAAAGTAATTGTGCAGAGTGGAGCACACGAGAGCCCTTCTGCTGACTTCAGGAGATGAAACAAAACTGACTCAGGGCTCATGCAAGAATGAAGACATGGAGAAATAGCGCTGACTAGCATCTACATCATCAATACTGTGGCTTGGCGGACCGCAGATTTTATCATAGCTAGAACAACTTGTGGCATGTCTCGTTCTCCGCAGTGAGATCATTCACGGAGTCATACGCCTTCTCATGCGAGGCGAAGGACAAACGGGAAGTATATACGAGGCAGCTAAATGGACTTGGGTTGCCCACGCGTTTCGATCGTTTGTCCGTGTTTGTCTCGACGCGCACGACTCCTTCTACTCTTTCCGCTTAGCAATGTACGCCGCAATATCCTGTTGCAAGATCTCTCGATGGCGTTTGTCTCTGCGATCCTGTGATCCAGCCATCGACGATTTCGGCGAGACTGCCGCCGCTTGCTCAATGTCGTTTGGTTCTGTCTTGCTGGACTTCAGCACACTCAACGCCGCGTCAATCTTGCTCTCCCGAGCAGCTGACACCTCACTCAACTGATCAGTTTTCTCCTTCTGTGCAACACTCTTTGCTGCATCTGCTACTCCTGCATCTGTTGTGTGTCGACTCGCAAGTGCTTCCTCCTCCAGTCGCTGAAGCCGATCGCGCATCTCCTGAATAGCATTGGCAAGCACCAGGTCCTTATTCTGTCGCTCTTGAACCACACCAAGTTCAGTTTCCACCTCCTCAAGACGCATAGCCTCGTTCTCTCGCTCCATGCGCTTCTTTACTGAGTATAAGTATAGCCCCAGTACTGTGCCAGGTCCAAAGGCGAATAATCCGTACACAAACTTCCGTCTCGGAGACAGCAGATTGCTGAATCACACACAAACCATATGAAAGAATGATTAGCAACACGCAGTAAAATAGTCAGTTTAGCAGTCAGGGACCACGTACTTTAGTGCATCCGGAGGTGCGTTCGAGAGGAGCATCTTGATTCTGCTGGTCATGATGCTCGACGACGTCGGTTGAAAAGCCAAATGGCTGAATCGACACTAAATTCGTCTAAAGTTCGGAACGATGCCAACGCTTTTCACGCTCGATCATTCAATGTTTTTTCTTTTTCTGCTTTTTATCATTCTGCTTTATAGACAAAACAATGTGCTTCGTGACTACTACGGGCCTCCTCGACCTTTTCTCTCATTCTGTCTTCTGTTAATCTTCTTGCGCTCACTCACTAGCGACGTCGTTGCTGACAATAGACACTTTATTACCGCCGAGCTTGGGTTTTCAGTTTGCGCAACATACGTTGTTAGGTGATAGACTTTTTTCTTGGTTACGCCACCACGAACCGCGATTGTGCGTCGAGACTTGAGAGACCTTGCATGTCAACGAACTGCTAGTGCTCCTTGTAGATGAACTCATTGGACACCCACTGGGCGCCCGAGCTGCCCGAGTTGACCACCTCCAGCGTCTTGTTGCGGATCTCGTCTGCCTTCAAGCGGCTGACGCCTCGCAGCCAAATCTCAAAGCGGTAGTTGTTGCCTGCGTCCTTCTTGTCCTTTTTGTTGTTCTGATGGGGGCAGACAGCCAGTAGCAATGACAGCAGAGACCATCAGGTACACACACACATGGATCCTTCCAGTAGAGCAGATCGAAGCACTACCTTGTGAATAACTCGAACACCCGTTACTTCGTTGCCCGGATCAATGAGCTCACCAACCGCTCCTAGCACGAGTTTCTCCCAAAACTCATCGAGCTCCTGAGCGCCCACATCTGACAATTGCGCAATTGTAAGCCATCAGACAACCAATCCAGTCGATGAACAACACGAACGATTAAACAGATAGCTAATAAATACAGTTGCAATGCCTGACCTTTTCGGATAGACCACTCGCCGCCGTTTTTGTTCTCTGGATCCTCCCACTCGGGCACAATACCGTCCTTAAAGACAGCAAAACCTTCGACTGTTCGGTCTGCGAGTTTCTTGCGGGTGAAACCGTCGAACAGTACCTGACTACTCGGATTAAACCGGTAGACCGTAAAATCAGCATACATTTGATCCAATTAAATAATCGACCGAATTCAGGGCGAGAAGCTACGAATCCCTCGGACGACTGACTGGCTAGTTGACTCACCTGGGGGGAGGGAATATTGTTCCAATAGCCCCAGAATTCCTCAACAGTGCTGAATGTACAGAGTTTAAAAAGTTTATCGCCATAGGACATGTTTTTGCCTTGCTCACGCTGCTCCCATATCGCCCAAGGTTCGTTCAGTTCGTGCTTGTCTCCTGACGCCATTGCGCGTCGATTTTATACTGTCTATATCCTGCTCGACGGATTCGTTCGGTCGTTTCGAGCGAATGTCATTGGTACAAAACAACGTGGAAGTGGAATCCACCAATCAAAAACTACTTTTGTTTGGAACGAGACTTGTGCAAATCAGATGACACAGCTTTATTCGCCTGTATACTGCGGCTTGCGTTTCTCCTTAAAAGCCACCAGTCCTTCGATGCGGTCCTTGGTTGGAATTACCTGCGCGTAGCAGGCATTTTCAATGGCCATACCAGAGGCAATATCTACTTCGGAGCCCCTCATTATCGCTTCCTTTGCCATGCGGATCCCAACAGGTCCATTGGGTAGAATCTCACGAGCAATCTCCAGTGCCTTGTCATAGGCCTTGCCTTCGGGTACAGCGTAGTCAACAAGGCCAATCTTCTTGGCAGCTTCAGCGTTCAGACGACGACTGGTGAAGATGAGCTCCTTGGCTTTGGAGATCCCTAATCGGCATCAAGGTCAAGAAAACAAGACGTGAGTACTACCATTCAGCTCTTGATTGTTCGTGGCACAGCGTCCACCTTACCGATCAAACGAGATGCACGCTGGGTACCACCAGCCCCAGGAAGTATTGCCAGGGACGTCTCCGGAAATCCGAGAATCGCCTTGGCTCCAGCAATGCGGAGATCGCAGGCAAGTGCGATCTCCATACCTCCGCCAAGTGCTGCCCCTTCAATGGCAGCAATTGTTGGCATTGGCAGTTGCTCCAGATCCGTGAACCCGGTGCGGTAGCCACGGGAACTTGCAGCAGCCTACATAGGAAACCATACGCAAGACATAGCCGGTTAAGTATACATCCACTCGGATATCCATCACCTCGAACCAAAGTCACCTCGGAGGGCGTCATCCTCAGACGCTCTTTCAGATCTGCACCCGCACAAAATACTCTGGGAACAGCACTACGAACGACCACCACGCGGACAGACGAATCAAAGCGGACTTGCTCGAGTGCTTGGCGGAACTCGGCCATAAACTGACGACCAAGTGCATTCCGCGCCTCGGGGCGGTCCATTGTAAATAGCGCAATGCCTGCATCGTTGCCGTCCAGCATTTCTACATGAAACTGCGTCGTCTTTGCGACTGCATGTAGCCTGCGTGGCTGCAGCACACAACGGGACAGTCGTCTACCTATCGGCGCGCGCGTGAGGACAGTCAGCATCTGATATTAGAAATCGAAATGAGCCCAACTGCACATACGCAGATAGGTATACACCGGTGATGCTCCGCTACAGTGTACCAGTTTACGTACCGATGGTGGTGATTTGAAGTACCATTTTTTACGGGCTGGTATACCGTGTGCTGACATACCGGTTTGCTCTTATGTTGCGCGGAGCGGCTTTGATCCAACGACTGGCTGGCGGCTGCTGATCGCCGGGTGTCGTAACCCATTTAGCAAAATCGCATCAGGATGGGAGCGTACAAGTACCTAGAAGAGTTGTGGAAGCGAAAACAGTCCGATGTGCTGCGCTTTCTGCTGCGTGTGCGTGCTTGGGAGTACCGCCAGCTACCTGTCATCCACCGTGTGAATAGTCCTACCCGTGTAGACAAGGCCCGACGCCTCGGATACAAGGCTAAGCAAGGTTTCGTGATTGTGCGCGTTGCTGTGCGTCGTGGTGGCCGCAAGCGTCCAAACTCAAAGGGTATTGTGTACGGTAAGCCAAAGCACCACGGTATCAACGAGCTAAAGTTCGAGCGCAACTTGCGCTCGGTGGCTGAAGAGCGTGCCGGCAACAAATTCTCAAACCTGCGGGTGCTCAACTCGTACTGGGTCAACCAGGATGCGACGCACAAGTACTTTGAGATCATTATGGTGGACCATTCGCACAAGGTCATTCGTCGTGATCCTCGTATTAACTGGATTGTCAATGCCGTGCACAAGGGTCGCCAACAGCGTGGCCTCACGTCGGCGGGTCGCCAGGGTCGTGGTCTCCGCAAGCGCGGGCACCGTGCCAACAAGATTATCGGTTCATCTTTCCGTCAAAACTGGAAGCGTCGCAACACTTTGTCGCTGCGTCGTTACCGCTCGTAGATGTCGTCTTTGCTCTCTGTACTCAGATAGTCTCGCTGCATTCGTTTGGCTTTCGAGTGCGTTAACAACACGTTGAGTACATGCGACTTTTGCTGCCAAGACCTTGATTTGCCCTGCTGCTTACCTTCTTTTGCAAATGCCACGTGGACCTTGTTGTGTATACGCATAATCCTGGATCGACAGCAGGACGCGCTTCTTGAACGTGCACGCTGATGCAAGCAATTAAAAAGCAGAGTGTATACTGACGTTATCTCGGGGTTTACTTCCCCTTGGGACGCAAATCTTCAAGCGTCTGGCGGATCTGCTGCTCACGATTCTTCTTGTGCAGCTCAAAGCGTTCGGCCACGTCGGGTACATCAAACAGGCTCTTGAAACGCTGGGGCATGGCGTCAACGAGGCCCGTGCCAAAGAGTCCCCACTTGCGGTTGAAATCGTCCGATAGCTCTGGATGCGTCGCGCGGACGCTGGCGTCAGCAAACTCCTGCGGGTGCTGAAAACGGACGTATGCCAGCATGGACACGGCAGCGACTGTCGTGCCCGTGACGGCCGACAGCGCGACCGCAGCGACAGGGAGACGCGGCCGAGGTGTCATTGGATAGATGGGTGGGGAAGTGGTAAAAGATGAACTGGGAAGGTGACACTTGCGTCGGGACGCTGGTTGGAAGCGATGTTAACTCGTTGGTATAAATAGACGAGACGGAAGATTGGCTGAAAGTATACGAGTCGAATCGAGCTCGTTTTTTCAATGCAAAACATGAGCGACGTCTATAGTTGCTGCCGATGCGTCAGCTTTTGTGAGGAAATGGTACGGGGTCCTTTGCCTTTTGTGCAGATCGATGCAGTGAGAAATAACGACGATAGTAGCGTTTGTATACTGACTCTTTTGTCTGCAGAATGCCGGGTATCGCAAGACAATGGAAGACACGATTCGTATTGTTGATGGGTATTTACAGAACCCACAGAACGGCTACTTTGCTATCCATGATGGCCACGGGGGTACTAGAATACGTTGCGATGCAACGCTTACTTGTCTGGATCAAATCGGAAAGTAGAAATGATATTGGGTCCGACTAAGAGAGATGCTCGTCCGTGTTTGCTGTAGGTCGTTCCGTTGCAACGTATTTACAGCGAGTGCTGCATGAAAACATTGCAACAGAGTTGCAACTGAAAGATGATGGTAGTACTGTGGAGCAGCGACTTGAACGGTACGTGATGCTTTTTTCACTACTGATGTCAGTCAGAAGATCGTGAGGTGAGAGTGAGAGGGCCTGAGTGCTTTGTTGCAAGCGGCTACTTAATGTCAGACATGGAGTGCTGTCAGAGATCGGTGGGCTCAACGGCAGTCAGTGCATTGGTTCTGGAGGATGGTGGTATCAAAACGCTCTACGTCGCCAATGTTGGCGATAGGTACGGCAACTTGCAACATGAGATTGGGGGGCGTAGTGTTAACGCGTGTGGTAACTCGTAGCCGCGCCGTGGTTAGCTTCAAAGGAAAAGCGATTCGGCTTTCGAAGGTAGAAAACATTCCTAGTGCGCAACGAGGCTTGTAGTCAATTTACGAGCTGATAGTCGCGTGCTGTATCCAGGACCATAAGGCCAGTGATCAGACTGAAGTAAAGCGGATTGTTCAACGAGGCGGCTTTATTGTGCACCATCGAGTGTCTGGATTGTTAGCAGTCTCCCGGTACTAGCGTTTCTAGCTCAGACTCACGCAGATGTAGTGTAGCATTCTAACATGGCACTGTCGCTTGCAGGAGCTTTGGAGATTGGGATCTCAAGCAGTTTGTGGTGGCACGACCGTACACCAGCGCGACACGGTAAAGATTGTTCGTAACTAACTCGAGTTTCACTATCGCGTGTTACACTTATCCTTGAAACCTTTCTCAGGCTTGAGCCGGCAAGCGACTATGCGTTCTTCATACTGGGATGCGATGGTGTTTGGGACGTTCTGAGTGACCAAGAAGCTGTAGACATGGTGAGTTCGCTACCCATCTCGCAGCAGTCTCAAGCCGCGCAAGTTCTTGTCCACGAGGCTCTTTCAAGGGGGAGCGAGGACAATGTCACAGCGATAGTTGCATTTCTTTGAATTACATCTACTTCGACGAGAAACTTTGCAGAGGAAGCAGACAGTGCTCTATACTGTTAGCAGAAAGATGCAACATGACCAAGATCGAGATCGGCACCGCAGAAAGTAGGAGGAGAGCTGTAGCATCCACTTGAAAGTAGTGGAAGGGCCTGACTCTGGAGTTCTATTGACACTCTTTTTCTTTTACTAACTCAGGCGATTCAAACCGCTGCTCACCTCACTTGCACTAATCTTAGCCAAGGAAGGCTCCAGGGCCGAAAGTTCCAACGAAAACTCGATCCAGCGTTCTTGTCATCCCTCTACGAATTCGGTCTAATGTTCGGTCATTACTTTTCTGATCGTCTGAGAACCCCGATGCAAGTTCTGGTCGTTAGGGATGAGAACTGCCGAATTGGGATGACACACGTACCCTATGCCCTGGGATCGTTGATCCACTGTCATGAGCATGCAGCAACGATTCGCGAGACATGACAAAGACATTGACCGAGTCAATGCGGCTGTTGAGACGTACACTTTGCAACTTTGTGCCGCCAGCAACAAGTGTTCTGGGAAACCGGTCCAGGCAAAGGAAACAACAAGAGCAGCGTCTCGCGTTTCATTTTGTGGTCTACTGGAAAATGTCGCACGAGCTCTCAAGTGCCTTGCATCAACTGTTTGCTCGAACTTTGTGCAAAACAACACCATTATTTCTGATGTTAGTTAAGCTTCATTAGCCATCTGCAAGTACTGGGTGCCTCAGATACATTCTGAACGTCGTGAGTCCTCTCCGTCATTCAAAAATCCCCTTGCCAAACGACGCTCTTGTACAAGTCGCCATGTTGCCGCGTTGAAACGATATCGTTACCGATCAAACTCCAGAGCAAACATGCCACGAGCTCGCAGATTACCAGCGACAGACGTCATTTCAGATGTGCTGTAGGCCATCAATGTTAATGATACAGTCCTCGCTTATGTCACAAATGCTGGAGCGTACACTGCCGCCACCAGATCTAAAAGCACAAGCTAAACCCGGGAGCAAACCCACCATCAAGCAAGAAAGTATCGTACAATCTTCCACGCACACGTTCAAAAGTTCCGGCAGTTGACCACCACCGTGGTTATCCTGGATTGGCGTACGAACTCGCAGTCATTTCATACTTCCGAATACACTGATCGACAAGCTCCTGCATACGCATGGAACAGTTTACACCGAACACGAAACGGTTTCTCATGCTTATCCTGCTTTTTATCGATATGACGATCCCACGCCTTGTTTATACTCGACCCGACGTCATACATAAAACAAAACAGGTCACATCGTCATCGCATTTGCCAACTTATGCCCTCACTCGGGAGTGAAAGTCATGGAAGGCGCGAGCTCCTCCTGATCAGCATCACCCGAACCGTACTTATCGTTCGTGGTGAACGTGCTCTTGCCCATATTTGAGCGCACTTTTCATCGTGCAGTGGCGTCTTATGGGCCGGGACGCAACGGTTCTGCTGTACCCCGCACTTGTGGGAGACGCCGAATAGACTTCGTCACTGTTTATTGGCTACCCAGAGATCTCTGCAGCCAAGAGCGAAGAAGAAGCACCGACTGACAGCTCGCTATGCCGCGCCTGTGAATCTTGACGCACGCGTCACCCACCACTACTTTAAAGGCACAGAGGAGATGACGAGCGTCAAGTGGTTTGCAGAGACCAACAACGCAGATAGGAGCGTCTAATGCGCGTGGCGCAATTCTGTGTCGTGGAATTGAGCGGCACCAAACATGTGCTGGTCAGACTACCGCTGTATGAATAGGTGAGTGCTTCTAGTAGGAGGAAGCTGATGGGTCGTGAGCATCGGTAAACGTACTACATGTAAAACGCAGGATGTAACGGGGTGAATCGTTACATAACAAATTATAAGAAATTGTTGACAGAATATAACTATAAGAGTTATATTCTCAGAATATTGTCACAAGGACGAATATTCTGCAGCACTTACGAGTAGTTCCTAATTGGTTGATATGGGCCATTATATCAACCAACGAAGACGCGCCACGACAGACGCACGCAATGAGTGGTGAGCAGATAGTTGATATGCACATTTGTATTCAGACATAGTTAGATGAGGATAAGTAGTGATTTATTAACAGACATTAACTATGATAAATACAGTTCTATTTTTCACTTAAACTAAGTACTCGCTTCTTCTACCGTCTTCCTCTGCACGTACGAGTGTACGTGAAGTTCCGAGGCGCCGCCTTATTCTGTCATCAGAATAAGTAGCTTGTACTGTTACCAGTACAAGCTTCAGGGTGCCCCGTTACACCTGGTAGCACTTCGTAGTCCGTCCAAGGACCACGTTCACATCTAACATGAATATGTTAGATGATGAAGATGACCAAAGCTTTCACGCTACGCGTGACGGCTACTCCCATTTGAGCGATGTCGAATGGGATGCGGTTGAACGGATGGGTTCAACCATGGGCCATCCATGCTGTTAGCGTCATGCTAGAGGCTCTCAATAGAGATGCCCAACATGCTACTATCGCCAAGTTCATTCAAAATGAACTTGACGCAGAACGCGAGAAAGTAGCCTTGCTTCACCAACAAGGTTCTCAGCAAGCAGAGTTGTTGAGAGAACAGGGTGCTCAACAGTTTGAACTGTTGAGACAGCAGCAGGCTGCTGCTGGCGGGTCGATGCACTCGCGTCGACCCGAAACCTTGAAGATTGACATCTCCAAGTATAGGAGAGTCAAAGAGGACTCCCTCTTGAGATGGTTCGTCAAATCAGACGACACCATAAGGGCGCGTCGCATCGACGACGGGGATATGCAAGTTGCATTTGCCCAGTCAAATCTGGCAGGACGTGCCAAGACTTGGGCTTTGGGGCTCAAGTTGCACGACCCATATGCGTTTGGGTCGTTGGAAGTCTTCAAGTCGCGGCTCAGACAAACGTTTGAACCGCCTAGAGCTGAGTTCAGAGCTCGAACCGAACTCTTGAAGCTCAAACAGGGTAAGCGTGATGTGCACGCTTACGCGCAACATATACGACATCTCACGAGTTGTATAAGTTCCAACCCGGTGGATGAACACACGTTGGTTTCGGTGTTCATGCAGGGTCTTGCGGATGGTCCCGTCAAGACTCACCTGTTCCGACTTGAACTAGATTCACTAGAACAAGCCATTTCCATTGCGGAACAGGAAGACTTCAGTCTGAGACAGGCTCGCGCCAGCTCGACATCATATCGTCAACCGAGACGATATGACAGCGGAGGTCCAGAGCCGATGGAACTCTGTTATGTAGAGAGCGAGAAGGCTCGCTCTACAGACTACAAGAAGTTGCAGAGATGCAACAGATGTCAAAAGACAGGACACTACGCTTACGAGTGTAGTGCTCCTCGTCCAGTGTCTCGCAACACTGGGCGTAGTGACCGTCCACCCATGAGAAAGGGGCAGGGACGCGGGTCCGCTGTTGGTGCAAAGACGCAACAACGGGATGGACCGTCAAAAAACGGACAGGATCAGTAGGTGCGGAGCACCCTACTGGTCCAGCAACGTCAAGAGAATTTGTAGGCCTCTTGATGAAGGTTGCTCCCAACACACAAACGTTGTGCGTTGCTGCTCTAGGTAATGAGGTCTCACTCATTACCTTGAAACTCGAAGTGACGAATAAGTTGTCCCTTCGAGCTCTAGTCGATTGTGGGGCGTCCAACAATTTTGTGCGACGCCAATCGCTAGAAGATGGTCACTTTAAGCTCAGTGAATGTGACACACCTCCTACGAGGATGACGGTACGTCTTGCGACAGGCGCATCCGTAACCGTCATGAAGCGTATAGTGAAGATCCACTATACGCTAGAAGATACCCAATATGACGATGACTTTATCGTATTGGATTTGGATGACAAATTTGATGTCATCCTTGGAATACCGTGGCTCAGAAGGTACGAACCACGGGTAAACTGGCAACATCGAACAGTAACGATGCCTGCCGCTTGTTCATCAGATGGCCATCTGATGAACGTTTTGGAGCGTCCACAAGCGTGTGGATGTACTACGAGTGAGTGCGATGGCCTCACTTGTGGTACGGTCGTTAGTACGACTGCACAAAACCTTAGTGTACCAAACGGTTACACTTCGGAGCAAAGTTCCGGCGGCTGTGAGGAAACACAGGCTGCGCCGAAGGTCCACCACTCGAATAAGTCGGGTGGACTGGGACAAAGATGTATCCCTAGCGGGGAACATCTAGAAGAGAAACAATCGATCGCTCAGGTTAAGCGAAACGATAATCCTAGATCGACTGGAGAGTCTTTCGTAGAGGATCTCGCTGTGGTTGCGCAACCCCAGCTAGAGGAAGTAAAGGGAATAAGTCCCAAGATTACAAATACGGCGGAAATAAGTTCCCCGAAACCCGCGGGAATAAGTCCCCGGGAAGCCGAAGGAATAAGTCCTTCGAGGCCTGAGGGAATAAGTCCCCAGGAAATGACAGAGACATTGAATGTCATAGTCAATGACGGATCAAGTGTAGGCGCTTATACACTTGATCTGATTGCGCCTCCGAAGTTAACTTCGGAGATCACTCAGTTGCCAACGCTCGAACATAAAAGGTTCTTGCGTGATCTGCGTAGTGGCAAAGTCAAGCAGATCTGCGTACTCGTCGCTGACGACGAGTGTGTAACCGACATAAGGTCAGCAACAGTGTTTACTGAGAACGAGAGAGTTCTCAGTAGTTCATCTATGGACGAGAGTGTCCTAGATGAAAAGACACGAATTGAGCGATATGACTCCCAATCGTGGGAATCGCTCAAGACAAATCCTCTATGAAGATTTGGTTGAATTCAAGGATGTATTCCCTGAAACTGTTCCGTGCGAATTACCGAAGGATAAAGGTATTCGACACGAGGTCGAGCTTAAACCAGGCTCGAAGTACTGTGTCATGAAGCAGTGGCCACTGCCTCGTGAACAAGTACTTGCGATCGACAAGTTCTTTGCCGATCGTTTAGCTGCGGGCCATGTGAGGGAATCAACTTCCCCACATAGCTCTCCGACCTTCTGTGTGCGAAAAGCAACAGGAGGGTGGCGGATAGTGCATGCATTTAACAAGTTGAATGCTGCAACGGTACCGGCTCAGACGCCGATACCGAGGAAGGACGTAATCATTGATGGTATGTCAAAGAGTACCATCTTTTCGTCCATGGATTTGATGGATGGCTTCTATCAAATCCTTATGCGAGAACGGTATATACCCTATACCGCAATGACCACACCTAGCGGCATGCTCTGTGAGTGGCTAGTAATGCCACAAGGGCTTAGTAATGCCCCCAGCCACGTTCAACAGATGTGTATCACATCTGTTGAGACCAGTACGAGAATTCGCACCGAGTTATTTCGATGACGTCTTCATCCATAGTCGAGCTATGGATGGAAAGTCGGACGTTGAGGTTCACAGGTACCACGTCCAACAGGTTCTTACAATCATGCAAAAGCATCAATTGTATGCAAACCTCAAGAAGTGTATATTTGCAGCAAGCGAAATACCACTTCTTGGGTGCACCGTTGGTAAGAACGGTGTACGTCCTGATCCCGAAAAGATCAAGGCGATCACCGACTGGCCTGTGCCAGTTGATGTCAAAGGTCTTCGAAAATTCCTTGGGCTAGCGGCGTATTTGCATGAGTATTCACGCAATTACGCCGAGATGACTGTACACCTCTCTCGTTTGTTGAAAAAAAAAGAGAGGTGGTTATGGAACGCTGAATGTCAGCGCTCCTTTGATGGTATCAAGCAGAGCTTGATACAATCCCCAGTCCTAGCAATAGCCGATCAGGACAGGCCATTTCATGTGGTCTGTGATGCCAGCGATTTCGCAATCGGCTGTGCATTAATGCAGTACGATCTTGAAGGCGTTGAACGCGTCGTCTGCTATCAGTCGCGTCAGCAGCAACCAGCTGAGCGGAAATATCCATTGTATGACAAGGAACTCCTTGCCATGGAGTATGCACTCGCGAAGCTCAGATTCTATCTATTAGGAGATAGACCCTTCATTGTTTACACTGACCATGCGTCATTACGCACGGCAGTGAACAGCCCGCACCTTTCACAACGAATGGCACGGTGGTTGTCATTCTTTGCGGAATACAACTTTACGGTCGAGTACAAACCAGGACGACTTAATGTCGTCGCTGATGCACTCTCACGTCGTCCCGACTTTGAACCAGTCGCGAAACCCAACAGTGAGACAGTCACTGTTGCGGTTATGACGTCCTCAGTCCCATCTACAACGTTGTATGATGATGTGAGGCGGGCATACGCCCAAGATGGTGAGATAGTGAAGTTGTTGACACATCTCTCCCAACCATCTCGAGAATCGTTGAAACGATTGTCGCCTGCGTATCGATCTGCATCAGATCGATACACTACTCGCAACGGTTTACTGTATTATACAGCCGTTTCTGGTGACACACCACGTGTTGTCATTCCAGATGATACTGATCTGCGTTTGCGGATCATGTTCGAGTATCACGATGCTCCTATAGGAGGACATCGTGGCCGGGAGAAAACATATCTCACGGTGAGTCGAGACTTTTACTGGCCCCGCCAGTATCAGTTTGTGCGAAAGTATGTTCGCGCATGCGAAGTCTGCCAACGAGTGAAGTCAAGTCCTTCACTGCGTGCACCTTTACAGCCTCTACCGGTTCCGGCTGAGTGCTGGGAATCCATCTCAATGGATTTCGTCTTCGGGTTACCCAAAGACGCACGCGGGAATACGGGTATTCTCGTATTTGTTGACAGATTCAGCAAAATGGCACACCTTGTGGCTGTACCAGAGTCAATCACGGCAAGTGGCTGTGCTTGTGTCTTTATTGACACCATCTTCCGACTTCATGGGTTGCCCCGTGAACTCGTATCAGACAGAGATCCACGATTCACTGCTGATTTCTGGCGTTCCGTGTTCAAATCACTCGGAACGCGCTTGAAGATGTCGACATCTGATCATCCAGAGTCAGATGGTCAGACGGAACGTGCCAATCGTGTCCTTGAAGAGATACTTCGAGGATACGTACACTCCTTTAAGAGTTGGAGTGAGTTTTTGCCAATGGTAGAGTTTGCCATCAACAACTCGGTGCATGCGTCCACGACACATACACCGTTTTACGTGAATGGCTTGCGCCATCCGCGTGTACCCACCTTACTAGAGTGTAACTCTGGTTTAAGGGGGGAGGGACTCGCGCGAGCAAAAACCGATTTGGTTCACGCTCATCACGCTCTGACGAAGAGGTCATTGCGTTTGATGCCGATATCGATAACATCGATATCGAAGAAGATGATGCCAGTGAGAGTGCGGAAGCCCTCACTGAAGAAAAGGTTGATGTTGCTGCAGTGCGCTCACAGCGCACTGAAGCTAACGAGTCATCAGATGAGTTCATACTGGCTCGTGAAACGGTAGTCCGTTTTGTGCAAGACTCCATCGCCGAAGCGGTGGATAAGCAAAAGCAAAACGCTGACAAGAATGGAAGGGCAAACACTCTTTTATTTAATAAAGGTGACTTAGTCCTACTGTCTACGGTTAATCTACCAAAGCATGTAGTGACTAACTTGGGTAGCAGTAAACTACTACCCAAGTACATCGGCCCATTTCGTGTATTGCACCGCCTAGGCTATGCATACACGATCGAGTTACCACGTAAGATGCGAACGCATCCCACGTTTTACGTTGGTCGGCTTAAGCCGTACCATCAGTACGCTGCTTCTTCCGATGAAGAACGCCCTTGCGCTCAAGCATCTCGCAGATAGCCTTGTGCTCCCGATGGTGGGCATCAACAAGGGTCTGAAGAGCAGCTATCTCATCCCGAGACCGATCAACAATCCCACGAGCTACCCTTAGCTCGTCACGAAGAGATGTCAGACATCTCTCGTTCTCAAGCTGAGCAAAGGCAAACTCAGCTCGATGCTTCGAGGCAGTGTCCGCCATTTGGAGACGCCTATTCCGCTCATGTTCGAGATCGTCGCGTAACCCTTGCGTTACGCGATCAAAGAAGCTCTCGGGAACACACGGATCCACATGATCGTGTGGAGAGCGTCTTTCCTCCTCCTCCACCTCCATTAGAGGACTCTCGCGGTGGCCAGCGCTATCTAGTTGAGCAGCTGTTGAACCACCGCGACGTGAACGGACGTCGGACGAGTTATCTCGTCCGGTGGCGCGGCTATCCCCCCGTCCTGGGATTCTTGGGAGCCCCGCTCCCAACTGATGATTGACGTACTGGGTCTGGTTGAGCAGTACGACGCGGCACATCCTGTGCCGCAGAAGGACCGCCGGAGAAAGTCTTCCCGGCACGGTCGTAAAGGGATTTCAGGTTGTCAATCCCTTCGTACATCTCAATAGAGATACGTACGCGCCACCACGGGCTATTAGGGAGGTAAGCCTCCTTAGGTGCTCGTGCAGAGTTGTTCACACAACACGGGCACGAGTCTCCCCAAGAGAGGCAGGGTAATCCCTTCTCCCTTGACAGACGATGCAGCTTGTAGCGTGCACCTGTCGGGGTTCGCTTTTCAAACTTATCACGAGCTTTGATAAGTTTGTCATTACAAACGTCACGACCTATATCCTCAAGGTTATGGATGTAGGCGTTCCACGCTTGAAGCAGTGAGGGACCATCACGTTTGTGATTCCCACTGTACGATCGATGTCTAAAGAAAGCATCGATGAAGAATTCATTCTCAGCGCGATAGTTTTTCGCGCTGGGGTCAAGGTGATGGATCCTTGACGAATCGAACAATCGTGTTCGATAACGATCACTCGTCGTCGCCGACAAGTGATCCATGACGGATTTTGGAGGCATCCATGCCTTCTTCTCAGGAGCGAGACGCAAGACATTGCGGTCCCGCTCTTCCTGCGACGTGCCGACAGAAGTACTGGCACCTCGCTGTGAAGTGGTGTCCATAGGAGAACCGACACCACTGTTAGCGCCCGAGTCTCGCGACCTCGAGCGCCTTCGCTTCGGCGATGGTTCATCTGATTCATCAGATGAACCAAAGATGCTGCGACGCATAGCATCATCCATGCCACGCTTGGCAGGCGGATTGGATTCAATCGCCGTCGATACGGATCCGTCTTCCGTGTCAGGAGAGTATGAGACACCGAGCTCATACTCTGTATAGACATGCGTGTCTTCATGACCAGCGCCTGCATCACCAAGTGACACAGGATGAGTCGCTTCAGCAACCGATGAGACATCAGTTACTGTGGTTTCTGCTTCGGCGTCCGCACAGAGACGTGCGGACGCGCTCTCGGCGGCCTTGCTCGCGCATCGCATGGGCTTGTTAACCATGCGATGAAATGTTGGAAAGTGGACTCGGACCAACAAGTGCAAACCCTGTCCCAAATGATTTGGTACGAGTATCCATTTAGTCAATCAGTCACTAAAGTGACTGATGGTTAAGGGGGGGTGATGTAACGGGGTGAATCGTTACGTAACAATTTATAAGAAATTGTTGATAGAATATAACTATAAGAGTTATATTCTCATAATATTGTCATCAGGACAAATATTCTGTAGCACTTACGAGTAGTTCCTAATTGGTTGATATAGGCCATTATATCAACCAACGAAGACGCGCCACGACAGACGCACGCAATGAGTGGTGAGCAGATAGTTGATTTACACATTTGTATTTAGACATAGTTAGATGAAGATAAATAGTGATTTATTGCAGACATTAACTATGATAAATACAGTTCTGCTTTTTACTTGAACCAAGTACTCGCTTCTTCTTACCGTCTTCCTCTGCACGTACCAGTGTACGTGAAGTTACGAGGCACCGCCTTATTCTGTCATCAGAATAAGTAGCTTGTACTGTCACCAGTACAAGCTTCAGGGTGCCCCGTTACATAGTCTGTCCTCGAAGGATCGTAGTTTGCGCGCATAATGTTCACGAGTTCCGGCGACTCGTGGTGCACGATGTCGTCGATTACGAGCAAATCGGCTCCGCCGCGCGCGTTGCTGACGGCGGCCATGTTGAGGAAGTGCTCCGCCACGGTGCGTCGCGCATCTTTTGTTGTAATTAAACAGCTTCCTGGGAAAACTCGCCATGATGGTCGTCTCGAACGTCAGGCGCAGCTGCTTAAAGATGTACTCGATATGCGGCATCTAGATCTACCCGGTTTCCACCTGATTGTGGAAGTACCTCTCAGCGGTTTCACCATAAAGTGGCCGAGGGAGTCCACCTTGACGTCCTCGGTCCAAGAGAAGCCGCACGGTGCCTATCCTAGGCTCACAGGGCGCATGAAGTTGCGTCCCCGGTCGAAAAATCCGCTGCCGAGGCCCTTGTAAAGCTCTTCCCTACGAACTATTTGATGATGAGCTAGCGCTGACTCGCTGTTAACACCCCGTAGTCGTTGAGCCCCAACCGCTCGCACGCCTGCGGCGTAACGTCCTGCTGAAGTGGCAGCACTGGGTGCATCGGCGTGAGGCGCATCGGCGGCAAGCTTACCCGGGCGGCTCTAGCATCGTAATGAGAGACACGCCAAGGTCAGGAATGTTGGTAAGTGTGCGGTGCGACAGGCTTCTCTTCTGGCGGACCAAGCGCGTCAATCGTCATTAATAGACCGCGCAAATTTGCGCCGCACTTCGATGCGAACACGCTGCTCGAGACAGCTCCCATCACCACTATTCTTCTTCTTGCATTCGCTGCGTCAAACCAAGCACCTCCAGGCTCTGTCACACCAGCGAGTGCTGCCACTATCTTGTCGCCACTCGTCTCTCTCCAGCAAGCGGAAAATTCTTCGATAGCTGGTGGCGTATTCACCGACGAAGGCACACGCGCTGGCGAGCCACGCCTTGGAATAGCTTGAGTTACAACACCTACTGCCTTTCCGGTCGCTTCAGTAGCTCCTGTTGTTATGCTTATAAAATGTTGGCATGCAGTCGTGCAATGCAGTATAGTTAGATGAATTACTAGAAGATTCCGTATTCGATCTACTATCCTTTGCTCTGTCGTTTTCGTATGCATGTACACTACGCTGTCTAGAGTTATCTACACCACGCATTATACAAATGGCTTGCTGACTAGCCTGCTGGCTTTAAACGGCTGGCGCAAAGCGAAACTACAAGTCAAAATTCTGATCTACAAACAGCACCCAATCGATATCTAACAATATTTTGAGTGTAGTACTAGCCACTTGATACAGAAGAAGTCAGGATATCTATCAAACTTTTTCCTTCAGGTTCCCATCGAGTAAAACCACGACCACGACTCATTCCTTCACCCTCTTGCTTTTCATTCTTTTGGTCAGCCACCCTGGGTGCCACAGAAAGGCGCCTACCAAGAGAACACATTGGTGCATGGTTGTTGAAAATGTCCAGAAACACAAGTTTGCGTGCATCACTTGGCAGCGCACGTGCTCGAAGCAATGTGTACCAAGATACAGTGGATTAATAACTAGGAGTTTACCTCTCGCTTCAGACATATCAATATGCTATCATGAAGTAACCCCCTGCCGATCCAATTCAGTTGGCACGCATGATTGACGGCCAATTGCCTGGTCTCGTTATTGGACACGTTTTTCTGGACGTAGCACTGGACGATGACTTCAGGACCTGTTACACAAAGGAAGCGGCTGGATCCCAACGCAATTGTCACATTGTAAAGAAAATTTTCTGCCCGCAACGAAGTTAAAATTCAGAATGCTCATCTTCTGGTTTGCATGTTGCGTTGCCATTGTTGCATAAATTAATGCTCAAATATCTTGTTGGTTCCAAGATGGGGAAATTTTTGACTTCTGCACATTTTTGATTTCAAAAGAGACACTGTAATCAATCGATCTACTGAGAGATAGCATGCACGATACACGCTGCTTACCTTTGATAGAATATACAGGCCACTAGGCCGTCAAAGCCGACTAGCATGATCGGCAACCTTCTTATCAGCGATAAAACTAGCCATACTCAATTGGTCGTGCGTACTGTAATACGGTGATGATGGATGCGCATGGATCGCGTTTGATCGACCATACAGTGAAAGTACGAAGAAGACTGGTACGTCTATGCACATTCACTAGCTCTAATAGTAACAGTTACATCATTGTGTGACGTTGTTCCTTGCAGCACTATATCTGTCGGTCTTAATTTCGAACAAAGTTCGGTCAGAATCACAGACCTTGATTTTTTCTTTCAGACAAAGAAGCTGCTTTAACAGCCGGTCCTATGCAAAATTTGCGTGCTATCCCTCGACGTGGACCTCCTGGCTATTTCTTTAACGCCTGCCAATTAAACTATTTAACACTTTGAAATTTGCCGCTAGCTTTAGACCAAAAACGTCGTCGCCAAAGATGCGCATCGAATGTTCCCTTCATGGATTTCACTGTGATTCAAGATCGTCACGTGAACTCCTCGTCTCCCGTTGACCCCGCGATGACGGAAGTCAACTCACCTGGAAGCGTCCATCCTTTAGACTTTGTCCACTATAGCTTCCCTACCAGTCGCGTGCCGAACTCACACGACCCTGCAACTGGTGAAGAGATGACCTCGCGGTTATCGCCTAAATCAGAAGTTAAAGCTGCATTAACCGAACTAGTTGGGACAGTGATTTGGCAAAAAAAGGGTCTGAAACGGGGTCACACGTTCGTTATCGTCCTAAAGGATACACCTTGCATATGTAATAGATAATCTCAAGCATTATCAGTGATAGTTGATGTGGTTGAAAACCTCAGTCATTCATTACATGACGGATCGATGTACTATCCATCAATTTTTAAGATGCTGAAAATTATTACGCGATTTAGTTTAACACTAGTATCCGGATGTTGTATGAGGGCTATTACAGATAAAACTAAGAATAAAAGTTCAGTTCCAATTTAAATTTTCGATTGACACGTTTCTATTTTAGACATCAGTAGATCGATACGAATAAGAGCCAGATTATGGTGTGTATTTGAGAGCAAATTGTGCGTAAAACTCCAAGAGTCGTTGTTTTCCTCTTCAGCCTCAACCAGCTCTACGACCTTAAAGACTCTTACAAGTCTCGGTTGATTAGTGTATGAACTAAGAACTCTTTAAACTAAAAGATACTTAGTTTCGTAGAACTAAGTGACTTCTAGTGCTGTAAATCTTCCTCTAGCCAAGAGATGTGTAGCTCCACTATACTTGATAGCACCTGTAGTCGATCCTAAAGCGTAGTCGCAAATCGACTAAAAAAACGCTTTGAGATGAAAAGCCTAACTCATCTATATCAGGCTCAACGCCTCGCGCTTTACAAGCTGAGGTCGTTCATTAGTGTAGTAAAATCGTCTCTTTGTAGCCCAAGGCCCGGAAGTGCTCAATGCACGGCGGGAAGCTTTCATGCGGTCTGAGTCCACATTAACCGGGCAAGTCCATGACCAGCTGATGTCGGCTATGCTGACTCGCTGCATCTCAATGCTCGATAAAGAGCATAAGGCTCGCCCGCTACTTATGAGTTTAAGGGCATTCGACGGAAAGGAGGGAGAAAAGATCTTCTTCTTGTTTACTGAAGTCGAAACGGGCGATGATCGCCGCTATGCTGCAAACCGAGCAGCAAAAGTTGGCTTTTCCGTAGCCAAAAATGACGGCAGGGCCATACGATTGGCTCTTACTTGTGATTTGTCGGTAGACGTCACGTTTTCCACTCTGGATTCGCTTACGAAGCAGATGTCTTGCGTATTCGCACTGCCTAATTATTCTCATCGAGTGCGTTCACGCTTCACATCGTCTTGACAAGGGAAAAAGGATAAATCGGACTATTTTCAAGAGCTGAGAATACTTCTCGATGCTATACAACTGGATTAACTTCTGCTTGATGAAGTCCGTGTCACCAATCTTACGAAAGGTTTCCGTACTGGGGTCTCTCAGACAGATATTTATTAATCCACCCCTTAACCTTTAAGGAGGCTGTGGACATAGCGTTGACAAGCGTTTTAATTATAAATTGTCAAGCCCGATCTTTGATTGAAAAGGCACAGCCCATGGATCTCAGTCATGCGTACTAGATGAAGCAGAGCTTTAAGCTGTTGAACAGCAACGCAACATCCGTAGAATTTACACGTGCGGGAGCACCAGACACTTGCGTCCACATTGTCCGCTGCGGAAACCGCGTCAAAGTCGGCGGAGCCGCAATCCGTCTCCTAACCCAAAGATGGCTACGGAGCGGAAAAACGCCAACTCCCAGTAGGCGCGGGGCGTCCTACTGGGGAGGGAATAGACTCTGCCAAATCTTTAGGTGGTGGGGATAGACAGGGCTTAGCCACAGACGGAATCGCGGAGTTCGACACAAGGCGTGAGTATAAGCCAGGATTGTTAAATGCCTTGGCCAAGATCAAGGGCTTTGAAGATTTGTGCCCAATTTTGATTGATTCTGGGGCGTCAGGCGACTATGTTCGGCGCTGATCCCTCGAGGGATGTTAGCAGTATGCTGAGGCGCCCAAAGCGCATGAGGGTGATGTAATCACAGTTTTCTTGGCGACTGGGACCCTTGTCAACGTACCTAAAGCTCCATTGAACTTAGGCGTAAAGTTTTTAAACTTCGATAGTATCGAATGTTGTCTTGTCCTTGGTTTGGACTCGAGATACGATGTCATCCTTGGGATGGCTTGGATGGAACGCCATGAGCCAAGGATTGATTTGAGGTCAAAGAACTTAGGCGCAATGCGCAATGTTCCAAGCAAAGCTTTGAAGAGTCATGAACCCCAATTTTGCTAGGCAAAAAGCGCTATTCGCGCGAGTTACTAACTGAGTCTGTTAGTGTGCTAGACATCAGAGTTTCTGAGTTAATTAACTCTGATGTCATTAACAGTAATGAAACGGCACGTACTCCGTTAAATGACAATTTTAATAGTGAGTCACTGAATGATAGTAGCATTGATGGCCTAGAGCCGATTTATCCTGGGTGTGATCCCTGTGATGCGCGTAGAGTGGCACTTATAAATCCACCGGGTGAGGGAGGCTGCGACAGCACCTGACTGAATGTCAGTAATGACATTGCTGGCAATATGCCAAGGTGTCCAGGGCTAGACCCGAATGGTGCATGTGCAGTGACACGTGCTCCACTGAGAGAGGTCGGCCGTGACGGTACTTTACTGAATGTAGAAAATGAAATTGTTGGCGATACGCCAAGGCATCAAGATCCATGATCGTTTGATGCGAATCTCGTGGAAATATTAACAGAGTGTGGTCAGCCGTGATGGCACCATACTTAATGTCGGTGATGACATTGGCTCTCAATTAAAGAAAGTTGAGGTTGAAAATGATCTTCACCTCGTGGAACCGGATGTTCATAACACTTAAAGTGTTCAGTCTCATTGCAGAGACGGTATCGACGC